ATTTATGCTTATATGATTGTGGTTACGGTTGTACTTTATTAATCCCTAATCTCTGCCATTACATACAATGAAACAGAGCAATGTAATACAATACACTGTTAGACATTATTGTAAAAAGTAAATAAAAAGTCCACCCTATGTTTTAGTGAATTTTTTAAAAATATTTTAGGCAGGAAATGTCAGGAAATTAGTTTTCAAATGTAATTTTTTTCTGCGGGGGGGGGGGGGACCCCCAGACCCCCTGGAAGATTTCCCCCCCCCCCCCCCTCAATGTTGACTCCATGGCTACGGCCTTGCAGCACACACGAGGGGGGTCATCGAGGACAGACCGCAGCACAGCGTGTGACGAACCACTCCCCGCTCGCTCGCTCGCTGCTCGGCGCTCTGGACGGCAGAATCGGCAGCCGTGCGGCAGGAGCAGGGGCGGAGCCATGGGGGGGGGGGGGGGGACTCAGCCCCCCCTGAAATTTTGGGAAAGTCGGTAATCGGGATAACCGGATATCCGGCTGCTGCAAAATGCTGCAGGCTGCCACCTTGTGCTGCCCTGCAGGCTGCCACCTTGTGCTGCCCTGCAGGCTGTCACCGTGTGTGCTGCCCTGCAGGCTGCCACCTTGTGCTGCCACCTTGTGCTGCCCTGCAGGCTGCCACCTCGTGCTGCCCTGCAGGCTGCCACCTTGTGCTGCCCTGCAGGCTGCCACCTTGTGCTGCCACCTTGTGCTGCCCTGCAGGCTGCCACCTTGTGTGCTGCTGCCCTGCAGGCTACCACCTTGTGCTGCCCTGCAGGCTGCCACCTTGTGCTGCCCTGCAGGCTGCCACCTTGTGTGCTGCCCTGCAGGTTGCTTGAGCGGCAGCCTTTCGAACTTATCGAACTTATCAGCCACATCAGCGGCTCCGACCTATTAATAAACTCCGCGTTCAAATCCAATAAAATAAGTTTTATACATTTGTGGCGCCCATTGGAGAACATTACACTGGATATCTCAGAATATTGAAGTCAGCCCCCCCCCCCCCCAAGTCAAAATCCTGGCTCCGCCCCTGGGCAGGACGACCGCTGCCAAGCGATGGCAGCAAAGCGCGAGGAGGCCCGGCTTGCCAACGAAATAAAAATTAAGTTTCATAACAATAATTAAAAACTCACACCGTGAGACGCCAGCCCCGGGCGTGATGCTTCGCAGCAGTAGACACAAATCTCTGGGCTCGCTCGCACCTGTGACGGGCGTGCCATGAGCTCAGAATAAACGCCAAGCCACACACCTGGAAATCCTTAGAGGTGGTCCACATCCATATTCACAAGGACAAAGATTCCACCACCCCCCACCCACCCACCCACCCCCCAAACCGCACCCGGATAGCCTCAACAGTGCTGTATTTTTGTTTTCACCTGAAGACGATTGCTTGTGTTGCGATCGAAACGTCGTGATTTCTTCTTTTTTCCTATCTACGTGGCTTTACCGAAAGACACATAGAATATGAATTGCTGCAGTCACGAAAGCTTTAAGTCAAGATTCGAAAGTGATGTTAGCGAGTAGCGGCATCTACGAAGGCCGGCACGGCACACAAAGGTGGGTGGGGGTGGGCACAGCATCGCGCCCGGCCGCCTTTGTCTCCCCAGTGGCCGATGTTTATACACCGCACCAGGTACTCATTTGAGGCTGAGTCGACCTAGGCGAAGCTCAGGAGCGGTTCAGGTAATCGTCACCGGTGTTGGTCGTGAGCGGGAATCGAACCCGGATGGCCGAATTCGTAGCCGCTGTGCTACTCCCGCTCTCCCATATTAATAAACACACCCCACACATACATACACACATACACACACACCACACATACATACACACCACACATACATACACACATACACACACCACACATACATACACACACCACACATACATACACACATACACACACAGGCAAACAGCCTTCGATTGGACTTCAGTGAAAAAGTATTTTGTTGTCCACACCGTGTTAAGCACTCGGCACTCATTGTCCACTTGTAGTTTCCTTGATCCGCTCATTATACAGAAGGGCTCACAGGGCAAAGCGAAACAGTGAAGGGAGCACCGTGTCTAACTCAGCAATGTAAACAAACCCTGAAAATGGCGCTGACGGCCCACAATGCATTGCGAGATCATGTGCCCTTTCGAGCCCTATACACCGCACTCCCGGTCAAAGTGCGCCATCTAATGGGGAAATGGGGGCATTACAGGAGCAAGGTGAAATTTAATTTAATAATAATATTTGGACAAGTTCGGCGGGCCGGATTACAAAGCCCAACGGGCCGTATACGGCCCGGGGGCCGTACTTTGCCCAAGTCTGCTCTAGGGGCAAGTGCTGTGAGCGAACACCTTCGAAGGCCAACACAGCACACGGGGAGGAGGTGGCGAGAACCGCGCTCTGCCGCCTTTGTCTCTCCAATGCCGATGTTTACAAACCGTACTAATTTGCGGCTGAGTCGACCTAGGAGAAGCCCAGGACCGGTTCAGATATCCGTCACTGGTGTTGGCTGTGAGCGGGATAAATCAAACTCGGGTGGCCGAGTTCGTAGCACGGTGCGCTAACCACTGCGCCACCGCTCCCACGCACGCACGCACGCACACGCAGGTCCAATCTCACAGACGACAAACAGCCAATGAAACTCAACTCACTTCCATGCATATCAACGCGGTAACCACAGATCAGCATCACACCAATTTATGTGCACATCCACAGCAACAACCGCCACTGAGTGGCGGTGACGTCACCACGGCGCTTGTGCCAGGCTAGGTGCACGTTGAGGCCACGTGAAGTGTCGAACGCCCGCTGGCAGGAGGTCACGGGACAGACCCAGCAGGTGCCACGGGTCGACTAAGATGACACGGCCGATGCCATCGCCTGTGCCCCCTAATGTGCCAAGCTAGGTGCACCAGGAGGTCACGGGAAAGACCCAGCAGGTGCCACGGGTCGGCTAAGATGACACGGCCGATGCCACCACCTGTGCCCCCTAATGTGCCAAGCTAGGTGCACCAGGAGGTCACGGGGCAGACCCAACAGGTGCCACAGGTCGACTAAGATGACACGGCCGATGCCATCGCCTGTGCCCCCTAATGTGCCAAGCTAGGTGCACCAGGAGGTCACGGGGCAGACCCAGCAGGTGCTACGGCAAAGGTCCTCCACTCACAACCACGATGGCGACGGCTTGGGCAGGATTTTATCCAGCAGTGGATTGACCATGGCTGATGATGCAACAGCTTTATGGATACCCTGTACTACAATGGATTACTTTCCGACGTACATATATACTGTTAAACTCATCATTTAATTTCTATAATCGCTGTTTATCGATAAATATATACGTCTATCCTACAGTATATAAACTAAACGATGTTTTTCATTTAGCAGGAAATGCCCACTTAGCTACGTAGCTATTTTTCAGAACCGACCTGGCCACAAATGATAGCGCAACGAATTTCGATTATCGCGTGGACATTCATAGCAGCCACAGATACTCTAAGAGCATGATTCTAAATGTGTGTGGGGGGGGGGGGGGAACCGGACGACCCGAAGAAAAATCCACGTGGCCATCGGGAGAGACACGCAAACTCCAAATATACAGCAGCAGGCATCAGGGTCGGGATCGAACCCACGACCTCCTGCATACCAGGCGAGGTAGTTAACATCTCCTAGCCACCGTGATGATGAGAAAGAGAGAGACACGCAAACTCCAAATATACAGCAGCAGGCGTCAGGGTCGGGATCGAACCCACGAACTCCTGTACACCGGGCGAGGTAGTTAACAACTCACCACCGCGGTGCCCTGCAAAAAAAAAACATCACTGATCCCAATCAGTGGCCGATTCAGCCAATCATCCACCCCGGGGGCGATACATTGAGTACCAGGTCCGGGGCTTGTGGGTGGACGATCGCGACGGCTGCCCCGGGCGCGAATCTGTGAGTGGTGCCGACAATGGATGGGGTACAGGGAAATGCACAGATTAAATACAAATGCAATGCATAACCAGTGCCGGATTAAACTAGTGCGGGGCCTGTAGCACATGTTATAAACGAGTCACAAATGAAATAAAATAAAACACGTAAATATAAAAAATCTACATTTTTAACTTGCATATTAAAGTAGTTGTATTTTTTTATTGGCTATACAGCCAGATAATACGACAAATCGCTAACCTTAAACACCCGGCCGTTCATAATATATATAGTACTATAGTAAATGAGCAAGTGCAGAATCACCGAACCGGCATTGATAGCTTGAAAGCATTTAGCGCGGGGCCCTTGAAAGTGCGGGGCCCGTAGCTACTACATATGTAGCTACTACTACATATGTAGTAGCTACTACTACATATGTAGCTGCTTGTGCTACGAGGATAATCCGGCACTGTGCATAACAAAGCATGCGTGTCGTGGACAACACACCTGGACATATGGAACTTTTCGCGCGTGCAACTTATCCTTTCAAAGCAGCAACAACAAAAAGTTTAAAGTACACATTTTTTTCAAGTACCACACTCAAGCACATTTCTCCAACGTGATCAATTCTCGCCCCCTCTGCCTGTGACAACTGTAACGTGGTACTCATGACCCCCCCCCCACCCCCCTCTGTTCAGCATCACTCTCCGCATGTGTCTTGAACTTCTTTCGCACCGCACGTAGCTAACCAACCGTGCTAATCGGGGGGGGGGGGGGTCCGTGACCCCCTGTAAAAAGATTCCCTACTAAGATCCGCATCTACCCACCACCACCCACCCACCCACCGCCCCCCACTGAACAGAGCTCACCCTCCGCCTGCATCATCTTCTCCCCGCCTGCAATTAATGCGACTACCCATCGCCGTCGTCGGCGTTGAATTCGATGACGATGTCAGCAATTGCCACGCAGCAAAGCCGCGTCGATGCATCCATGCCCCCGGGGGGGGGTGGGGGTGGTGGAGCGCAACACCGCAACGCAGGCCACGGTGATCGAGGCGGCTATATAAGCGACGGCGTAGACACAGGGCATTCAGGCAGAAGGAACGCTTCGAGGTGCTGGCCATGTCTTCCCCTCGTGGCCGGGTGCACGTGGTGCCGCCTCTGCTGTCCATGGTGGCGGTGTTTATGGCGGCGGCGGTGATGGTAGCGACGGCTCAGATGTTCCGACCGGGCATCATGCAGGTGAGCGAACGGACACACTTCTCTCACCACCACCACCGAAGTTGTCTGTCAATATCTATCTATCTATCGATGATGATGATGATGATGAACAAAGATAGAGATTGTACCCTTTCTCGCATTAAAGGAGGAGCTGTTAAGATGTTAAAACAAACATATAGATGCATTTTGCAAAGCGTCGAGGCTGCAAAAAGCACACATTTGTGGCATTGTATTTGAAACTGATTGGCCTACAACAGAGATATAAATCGGGCTATTCCTCTAGTATTAATTATGTATCGCGAAAGTATCGCTTGTCCATGAAATATGCGCTTTAGAAAGGGTTTCTGCATTCTCTTTGCGTGATTTTTAATGACACCTTGGAGCCAAGACGTGTTCCGTAAGAACGCTCCTCCAGTTCTGTGTTGGGCGTCGATGTGGAAATTGCCTTCAACGCACCTGAGCCAATGGCCAATACAGTAACTTGATGACTTGCAATGGGTGTCTATTTGGCGTTTGAACACCTTAACACCTCCCGTCTTACGTGCCAGCAAGGGTAAAACCTCTTCCAATGTTTTAGTCGTTATGACACTGGTCAAAACGTTCCACCACCACCACCATCATCATCACGATCCATAGGCAAGACAGTCCCGTAGGTGTCCACTGCACCGTTCGTAGATTAAATTTCGATTTAAAGCTTTCGTGACTGCAGGGATTCATATTCTTGGTTGTTTCGGTAAAGTCACGTAGAAAGGGAATGATAAAATAATAAAAATGATTTTAAAAAATGTTCTTGCTGTTGTTTTTCACACCTGATGATGATCGCTTGTGTTGCACTCGAAACGTCGTGAGAATATTATCGTTTTAATTTGTTTTATTCTTTTATTATTTCCCTTCTACGTGGTGACTTTACCGAAAGAACTTTCGTAATTTGTTTCCACTTTCCTCTCTCTGCCTTGCGCCACGATGCTCAAGTAGGGGCTACATATATCTGGAACCGATCTCTGATTGTCGTCGTCCTCAAGCCATTCTCTGTGAGGTCTTCATCTCTTTCCGGTTCCTTCCATTCTTCTGAACAACAAAGCACTTTTAATTTCCCCGCTGTTGTCAATGCTACGTTTCCGTCCAAATAGTGCCAGTTTTTCTTCTCATTACTGCCTGCATCATGATGATCATCATCGGGTTTGTTTTCTTAAATGTGCAAACCTTTTTTGTTGTTGTTGTTGTTGCTGCTTGTACGTCCATCTCATAGATATATGTCTCTCTCTCTCTCTATATATAGCTATACATCTATAGAAACGAATGCGGTTGTGGCTGCGTTCGTCATCATCATAATCATCACCATGCGCGTGCGTCTCGGGGCGTAGCAGTCGCCACGTGCCGCCGCCACCGGGCGATCCTTATCCTTCGCGAGCTGCCACAGCTGAATACAATCCAAGGCCGCGGTGCTGACAAGTTCCGGATTACCCTAGTGGCACAAGTAGTAGTTACTACACAAGGCCGTAATTATAATATATATATTTGGTGGGACACTTTCAATAATGCTCAAAATGTCCCCCCCCCCCCCCCCCCCAATATATTGCTATAAAAATAAATAATTGCTATGCTATGTAAATAAAAACAACAATTTGCTTAACCTTGGCCACAATATCTGGGCTTGTCTTCATATAAATCAATGCATAGATTTATGTTTATATGATTGTGGTTATGGTTGTACTTCATTAATCCCTAATCTCTGCCATTACATACAATGAAACAAGAAATGTAAAAAAAGTAAAAACAGAGCAATGTAATACAATATACACTATTAGACATTATTGTAAACAATAAATTAAAAGTCCATCCCATGTGTTAGTGATTTTTTTATTACTTTAGCCAAGAAATGAGTTTTAAAATGTAGATATTTTTCTGGGTTGGGTCCCTCAGACACCCTGGAAGCTTTGGTCCCTCCCCCCCAATGTTGACTCCATGACTACGGCCTTGCTACTACACGTGTAGTAGCAAGGCCGTAGTAGTAGCTACTACTACACTACACATGTAGTAGCTACTACACTACACGTGTAGTAGCTACTACACGTGTCTGCCATGGGTCGTGATTTTATCTTCATCAACGATGACCAGCAGGTGGGATACCAATCAGCGAGCGTGACGATGGCGGCGATGACTCTATAACGCCCCTACGGGATTATTTGGTGATCCGTTTTGATTGTAATTATTGAAGGGTCCGCCTTGCGCTCGCTCGCAACTAGGGGCTGTGATGGGCCGAACATGATTTAGTCCGTATGAAGGCGCTGACTCGCTGACGATACTAGAACCGGTTATAACAGCAACCATGAATGATCATTGGTTGTATATATGTAATATTTGTACGTACTGAATATTGGAATGACCAAATTAAATCCACAGGCTGAAAATTAGACAAATCTCACCGGCTGTCGTCGAACTCGATTCGACACTCCGGCTAAAATAAAATAAAACATGAAACGCTTATTAATTGTTAATTATATTCTCCACAATGACGATGGTGATTTGGAGTCACTTCTGAACTAACACTGTAAAACTATTCTTAATTTTACCAGGTAAGGCCCACTTAGCTCCGTAGCTCCTGGCCATCACAAATGAGAGCCTCAACGAAGTGGCTCATCGTGATATGGAAATGTATAGCAGCAACCAAATGCTCTAAACGCATGTCGATTCTAAGTGTGGAGGGGAAAACCCGGTAGACCCGGAGAAAAATCCACGTGACCATCGGGAGAGACACGCAAACTCCAAATATACAGCAGCAGGCGTCAGGGTCGGGATCGAACCCACGACCTCCTGTATACCAGGCGAGGTAGTTAACATCTCCTATCCACCGTGATGATGATGAGAGAGAGGGAGACACGCAAACTCCAAATAAACAGCAGCAGGCTTCAGGGTCGGGATCGAACCCACGACCTCCTGTATACCGGGCGAGGTAGTTAACATCTCCTATCCACCGTGATGATGATGAGAGAGAGAGACACGCAAACTCCAAATATACAGCAGCAGGCGTCAGGGTCGGGATCGAACCTATGACCTCCTGTATACCAGGCGAGGTAGTTAACATCTTTGTACCGCTGCTCTGATGCTTTCTCTCCAGGTTGTCCGGTTACATCTCGCATGATGCTACAAATGAACGTTCGGCTTCAAGTTCCACCGATCTTTGTTTAATGACTGCGCTCTCTCCAAATAAATTGGCCTCGAAGCACCGCAGAGGAAACATCATAATGGGGCAATAAAAGTATACAAAAGAAATAGATTTAAACACAACTATGGTTAACATACGGCGATTAAATATTGTAGCAACATTTCAAAAGGATAGGTTAACAACAAAAAAAACTAGTGTATAATCTTACTATACATAGAGCAACTTGAAATACAAGATATGAAATAGGAGTCATTGGGGGAATACCCGCGGAGTTAACGAGGGTGGGGTGCCACCCCACGTGGGCTGGGACTTCTCCGGGTCCTGCGATTTCATCTCAAGGACCTTATCTCATCTAGATTCATATCGCAGACTCACTCCCCCCCCCCCCGCCGCCTTCCCTCCACGACCATGATAATAGACTCTGGAATAAATGAATGAATCAAAATGTTGTTGTTGTTGTTGGAAGCGTGCCATGCTTCGGAAAAGTAACGAAAAATGTATTTCTTTAAAATAAAATAAAGAAAATTCCTTTCGAATCGGGCGAAGGACAACAAACTGAACACAAAAAGCAGTGCTGAAGAAAATAGTTTTAAATTTAATATAGTAGTGTAGTGTATAGTGTAGTATAGTGTAGTGTGTCGCATAGTCAGTGTAGTGTATAGTGCACCGTACGTAGCCAACCGCGCTAATCGAAGGTGATGATGGATGTCTCTTGTGATTTGTACAATATGTTTAACCTCACGCTATTTATTTTCTTTATTTCAGCAAAACGACGACGAACACATCATCTCTCGACGCAGCCAGGGTAAGATTCCCTGCACGATTAAACGATGGCCCTTAGCACACGAGTCAGGGTCAACTTTTTTTTTGGGGGGGGGGGGTAGGGGGTCACCAATGGCCCACGCGCTGACCGATCGACAGCGAACACGATATGTATCATCGTGGGAGATGCAGGCCTGGATTTGGGTGTCATCACTTCTGGGACACCACAGCTGAAAACCTGGACATTGAACCAAACCAAACCTGGAGGTCCAGCACCGGTTCTGAAATTGACCAACGTTCTTGGCCATGAATGGGAATCGGCTCGCCTGGTTCTTAGCACCGCGCGTGTTATAGTAAATGTTCGACCTATAACGTACTGCATCGTATTCGCTCACTCTCGAAGCGAGAGTGTCACACGGAGACGCGAGGAGGAAGCACAGACGAGCTAGAGAAGCAGCCAGGTGGTAACCCAGTGCCAAGCATTGCCGAAGCTCCCTGTGGTCCCATCATATATGAAGATGTTTTCGGCCAATTAATGGGGATTTATACAAATGGGTTGGGTGGCCAGCATCACGCCCAGACGCCTTTGTTTCCCCAGTGGCGATGTTTTTAAGCACCGCATCAGGTACTCATTTGAGGCTGAGTCGACCTAGGGGAGACGCAGGACCGGTTCAGATAATCGTCGCTGGTGTTGGCCGTGAGCGGGAATCGAACTCGGGTCGCCAGGTTCGTAGGGCAGCGCGCTAACCGCTACACTACCGCTCTCCCCTAAGCGCTACACTACCGCTAGGCAAATACACACAGACAAACGCCAACCACCGTCCATCACGAAGTGGTGGTGACTTCACTACGGTGCTTGTGCCAGCCGAGGTGCCCTTTGAGGCCATGTGAGGTATCAAAGGCTCACTGGCAGGAGGTCATGGAACAGACCCAGGTGTAAGGGGTTGACCGACTGAGACGACTGGCAGATGCACCACCTGTGCTCCCTGCTGTGCCAACTCCGCCCAGTGCTCCGCTCGTTATTGTGAGCGTCTCTGCTCTGCCCTCCGTAGCATCCTTCACGAGCCTCCTTCACAGAGGCCGATCTTGATTCTACTAGTACCAGTCGTTGGAAAGTCCACTCAGATCCACATCTTTCTGTATCACATCAGCCCACCTCTTCTCCATCCCGTGCCGCACCCGTTTAGCCCCCGCTATCCATCCAAGCAGAAGCTGCTTGGGCATGCAGTGGCTGGGCACTGCATGCCCCCTGCCAGAGGCGTTTACTAAAGGGATGGTGTCCAGATATATCAATGACTTGTGAACTCCTCACACAATCCAGTCTGATTAAACCCAGAATGGATCATGGGCAGACCAGCCCGAATGTTTCAGATGTCCCTTTTAAACAGCTCCATATTTCTCGAGCATAGAGAAGGGAGGGGCGTACCTGTGGCCGAGAAGAATCGGAGTTTCATATGGAGCAGTAGGTCAGGTAGCATCCACACAGCGTTACGCAACTGATAAAAATACAATGCCGCTTGACTGATTCGGAGTGAGACATCCGATGCCATGCCAGAGCCAGTCATTAGCACACTGCTCAAGTAAGGAAACGTCTTCACTCTCATAACAACTGTCCCATTACTTATGGTGAGTGGACGGGATGGAGTATTTGGTATACAGAAAATACCCAGGAAGGTCCTTTGTTTTTGTGGGAAGTATGGCAAGGCCTCACATTTTAGTGGCATGCTCCAGGTTCATCAGAAGAGCCTCCAACTCATTTTCAGAGTGAGCAGCGATTATTAGATCAACATACATAACTAGATTGACCAATACAGAGCCATCCCCTCACCACACCTAGGCATAGATCAGTATCTCATTATATCTGTACTACATGGAAATTCATCCAATACAGCCATGGGAAGCCTCTCGAACGACATGGTCAGAGAAGATATTAAATAGTGTATGGGTAAGAGGACATCCCAAGGTGAACAGGGAATGGCTCCAACTCCCAGCCACGGGCCTGCCTACCATAATGATGGTCCTTAACGATTGTGAACAGAGGGGGTCAGCGACCCCAGAGAGCACTGCCTATTTATGGTATCGTAGGCCTTGACCAGGTGAATAAAGCAAGATGTTGGTAGGTCCTGTTTACATTCACCTACGCATCTGCTGTAGCAGATCAACAGCAAATATGGCATCTGCGCAGGACCACCCTGGTCTGGAGCCACACCGGGGGGCCTCAGCAATGTTGCGCCCTCGACGAATGTTACGTTTGCCCCCCCCCCTCTAATTAGGCCCCCAGAGTTCAGTGGTGGTGCTCGGACATTGGGGGCCTCGAAATAAACATTCGTTGGTGGGGGGGGGGGGGGGGGGGGGGGCCCTCTTTAAATTAATAACTCAAGATTTCATGATAAAGGCTTTTTTGGGTTATATAAACGTGTCGTTAAAACCCGCCACCACCCGACACAGCCATATTCGCTGTTTATCTGCTACATGCCAATTCGTCACTAGTACAGCACACTGGTGTGTTGGAGAGCCAAGTCACAACATTTACAATCTGGACTCAAGATTTAAAAGCCAAATTAGTTAGCCAATATGGGATAACTCTGCCAATGTTTTTATTGTAATTCGCTTTTGTAATATTTTAAATTCATAACTCAAGATTTTAAAACACCGAATGGACACCTATTGCAAGTGTGTGTGTGGTTAATGCAGACGTTGATGTCTTTCAAAAGGTGCCCATTTGGATGTATTAACATCTTAACACCTCCTGCATTATTGCCCGCAGGACCGCATTATCCCATAGGCACGTACAGACACTGTGCCTTGGGCCTACGAAATAAAATGTTGACCCTGTATTTTTTTGTTGTTTGCATGATAATATAAAAATCTTAGTAAGAATATAGTTGCAGAAATTTTGCTGAAAAAAGTTTTAGGCTTACCGTGTTTTTTTTCTTTCTCAATAATTTCAAATTAAATCTGCTTATCTGAGGGCACTGCCTGAACAATGAACACATCAGTAACGACATCTGTCCATCCGTCTGGACGAAGCGAAGTACGCGTGAAACAAGCGGAGTGACAGTGGCGGTAGTAGTGGCATGGGGCAACAGCGGTACCAACCAGAGAGAGTTATCACTGAAGGCCTACGAAACAGGAGTGCCGAGGGCCCTACAAGAAACCTTAATCAGGTCCTGTTTGCCAGAAAAGGTCAAGGCTTTTGTTCCTTTATTTATCATCTTAACACGGGAAAGAAAGGTCCCGTGGACACTTCCATTTTGTTGCGTGAGCCCGGTGCCCTTGAAACAGCTGCAGTCCCTCCCGCGTCTACTTGGGAGGGAGCAATCAGGCAAGGCCCTAACCTAGGGGTGGCCAACCTGTAACACACCAAGAGCCAAGTGCATATATGCATAATATTTGATCGTACAGTTCGTTCTCCTATAGCGCCGCGTAGTTGTCATAACGCAAATTGGATATAACGCGATTAATGTATTAGAGAACGCATTTTTTTATAACGCGAATGCGAATTGGATATATCGCGATTGAGTGAATGGAACTACGTCGCAGCGCGAGTAGGAATAAGCGGTCGTACGGCTGCCTCGGCATAGCGTCGCGCAAGGCATTGGGATGCTGCTGGATGCTTCTAGATGCTCCCCACGCGTCTCGGTCTTTGTTCGGCCTGCGTCACGCATCTCACGTGTTGTCGTGGACTGTGCTTTGCCCCAATATTATATATAATTTATTATAACGCGATTTTTCTACAATGTGGTGTTCTTCAGGAACACAACGACTACCACCGAGAGCAGACTGTAAAACCTATCGTACAACTTTCAACCATTAATCTTTGCTACTTTTGACAGCATGTCCTACGCTATTCCCCCCCCCCCCCCCCCCCCCCCTTCGATAGAGCCACGTGCGATTGTTTATTAAAGCGCCTCACATGTGTCTCGGGAAGAGATGCCACGTTGGCCACCGCCCTGACCCTTGCTGGCCCCACTCTGGCACTCACAGAGTGCAGCGACAAGCAGACAGCCGACCTGTACCTGCTGGTGGACGGCTCCAGCAGCGTGGGGCCCCGCAACTTTCATCTGGTGCTCAGGTTCCTCGCCAAGCTGGTGGACAAGCTGGACATCGGCAAAGACAAGGTCCGCGTGGGCATGGTGCAGTACAGTGGGAACATGAGGAGCCCCAGGATCAAGAAGGAGTTCAACATGGGGCAGTACGCGGACAAGAAGAAGCTCAAGGCCGCCATCCTGCGCACCAAATACATGCGCGGATTCACGTTCACCGGAGCGGCGCTAAGGCACACTCTGCAGCTCTTCAAGAGGCAGGGACGCCCCGGAGTCGGCAAGGTGAGCCTCGCGCAGAGGACGGGTGTGAAGGGATCCAAGACAAAAGGCTCGCAAATCCACATTCACCCGTAACGTCACAAAGCCACGATGCCACAAAATCTTCTTTGTCTCTGCCACAAGTGCCATTCGTAGCACTCTGGTGTGCTTTTAGCGCATAAAGAACGTCGTTTGGCAAGAGGTCCGACGTTTTTCTGCACGTGGTCGGAGCTTTCTCAGGATGATGATCAGATGATATGAAGACGATGACAATAATTAAGACCGGTATGGGATAATGATAACGATTGATTATGCCAATACTGCCGTATATCTCCCTACCAATGATTGATGTAATGATGATGCTGTGTTAGATGATAATGTTGTTGTCGATGATCATACATGATGATGACAATAATTACGATCGGTATGGGATGATGATAACGATTGATTATGCCAATACTGCCGAATATCTCCCTACCAATGATTGATGTAATGATGATGCTGTGTTAGATGATAATGTTGTTGTCGATGATCATACATGATGATGACAATTACGATCGGTATGGGATAATGATAACGATTGATTATGCCGATGCTGCCGTATCTCCCCCCCCCCCCCACCCCGCTCAGATCTTGGTGCTGGTGACGGACGGCGAGGCCAACGACAAGGTGAAGGACCCCTCGGACGAGGTGAAGTCGAGCGGCATCGTCCTCTTCTCCGTGGGCGTGGGCAAGGCGGACCGCAAAGAGCTGGCCCTCATGGCGTCTCCGCCCGTCGACAAGCACATGTTCCACGCCACCAACTTCGCCGGCCTCGACTCCATCATCACGACGCTCACCTCCACCGTCTGCACCGTCGTGCAGGAGGCCCAGACCCCGGCGCCGGTGACTGCGGCGACCCAGGCCGTCACCTTGCCGAGTAAAGGTGCGGGTGGTCTGTGCAGCGCCGTCTGGCATTGAGACGCACTTTCTCAAGGCAGTTTATTCGAACTAAATTCGAAGCTTTCGTGACCTGCAGGAATTACTCTTTGGTTCTTTGGGTGAAAGTGGCGTAGAAAGAAATTTAATTAAATGATAATAGAACACGACGTTTCGATTGCAACACAAGCAACCATCATGAGGTACAAATGAATGAGAAAACAAACCTAGTAAACTTGGAAATATAATGCAATACAACACAGAGAGTCGGCCAACACAAGAGTCAACACCCCACCTGGTTGATTACGTTCTGCCAAAGATTGCTACATTTGAGAGAGACAAAACACAGACACGGAGACACACAGACAGGCACACAAGCAGAGAGAGAGACTCACACAGAGACAAACAGAGCGAGACACACACATAGGCACACAGAAAGACAACGTCTCTGTGTCGAGGCCTTAAATAGAGAGAAAGGGGGGTGGGGGGTTGGGGCATAGGGGGAGTTGTGTGGAATTTTATTCTGTCAAGATTTTGCTTCTCTCTCTCTCTTGGCCTTTCCTCGTCCTTATTCTTACATGGCGCCTTGAGACATTGGTGAAAGGCGCCTTACAAAGAAATGTCAATTATTATTATAATCTCGTCAGGAACTTCGTCACGGAGAGCATTGTCTGCTGTTTTCCCTAAACTGACTGGTTTTTGGGGTAGTGTGAAGATGATTGCACTCGAGATGGTCCCGATAAACAATGAAACGATCTCATACTAATGATGATGAAAAAAAAACGGGGATACAACCACAGACCGGGGCTCACTGCAACTCGCACCACAGCATATATTATCAGAGCCATGTCTGTTTGCATGTTTTGCCACAAGCACGTGTGGTTAACGCAGACTTGATGCCTTTTCAAAAGTATTTGTGGTTAACGCAGACTTGATGCCTTTTCAAAAGTATTTGAACATCTTAACACCTCTAGTTTTATTGACAGCACGTCCTACGCTATTCCCCCCCACCTTCGATAGAGCCACGTGCGATTGTTTATTAAAGCGCCTCACACGTGTCTCGGGAAGAGATGCCAGGTTGGCCACCGCCCTGACCCTTGCTGGCCCCACTCTGGCACTCACAGAGTGCAGCGACAAGCAGACAGCCGACCTGTACCTGCTGGTGGACGGCTCCAGCAGCGTGGGGCGCCGCAACTTTCATCTGGTGCTCAGGTTCCTCGCCAAGCTGGTGGACAAGCTGGACATCGGCAAAGACAAGGTCCGCGTGGGCATGGTGCAGTACAGCGGGAACATGAGGAGCCCCAGGATCAAGAAGGAGTTCAACATGGGGCAGTACGCGGACAAGAAGAAGCTCAAGGCCGCCATCCTGCGCACCAAATACATGCGCGGATTCACGTTCACCGGAGCGGCGCTAAGGCACACTCTGCAGCTCTTCAAGAGGCAGGGACGCCCCGGAGTCGGCAAGGTGAGCCTCGCGCAGAGGACGGGTGTGAAGGGATCCAAGACAAAAGGCTCGCAAATCCACATTCACCCGTAACGTCACAAAGCCACGATGCCACAAAATCTTCTTTGTCTCTGCCACAAGTGCCATTCGTAGCACTCTGGTGTGCTTTTAGCGCATAAAGAACGTCGTTTGGCAAGAGGTCCGACGTTTTTCTGCACGTGGTCGGAGCTTTCTCAGGATGATGATCAGATGATATGAAGACGATGACAATAATTAAGACCGGTATGGGATAATGATAACGATTGATTATGCCAATACTGCCGTATATCTCCCTACCAATGATTGATGTAATGATGATGCTGTGTTAGATGATAATGTTGTTGTCGATGATCATACATGATGATGACAATAATTACGATCGGTATGGGATGATGATAACGATTGATTATGCCAATACTGCCGAATATCTCCCTACCAATGATTGATGTAATGATGATGCTGTGTTAGATGATAATGTTGTTGTCGATGATCATACATGATGATGACAATTACGATCGGTATGGGATAATGATAACGATTGATTATGCCGATGCTGCCGTATCTCCCCCCCCCCCCACCCCGCTCAGATCTTGGTGCTGGTGACGGACGGCGAGGCCAACGACAAGGTGAAGGACCCCTCGGACGAGGTGAAGTCGAGCGGCATCGTCCTCTTCTCCGTGGGCGTGGGCAAGGCGGACCGCAAAGAGCTGGCCCTCATGGCGTCTCCGCCCGTCGACAAGCACATGTTCCACGCCACCAACTTCGCCGGCCTCGACTCCATCATCACGACGCTCACCTCCACCGTCTGCACCGTCGTGCAGGAGGCCCAGACCCCGGCGCCGGTGACTGCGGCGACCCAGGCCGTCACCTTGCCGAGTAAAGGTGCGGGTGGTCTGTGCAGCGCCGTCTGGCATTGAGACGCACTTTCTCAAGGCAGTTTATTCGAACTAAATTCGAAGCTTTCGTGACCTGCAGGAATTACTCTTTGGTTCTTTGGGTGAAAGTGGCGTAGAAAGAAATTTAATTAAATGATAATAGAACACGACGTTTCGATTGCAACACAAGCAACCATCATGAGGTACAAATGAATGAGAAAACAAACCTAGTAAACTTGGAAATATAATGCAATACAACACAGAGAGTCGGCCAACACAAGAGTCAACACCCCACCTGGTTGATTACGTTCTGCCAAAGATTGCTACATTTGAGAGAGACAAAACACAGACACGGAGACACACAGACAGGCACACAAGCAGAGAGAGAGACTCACACAGAGACAAACAGAGCGAGACACACACATAGGCACACAGAAAGACAACGTCTCTGTGTCGAGGCCTTAAATAGAGAGAAAGGGGGGTGGGGGGTTGGGGCATAGGGGGAGTTGTGTGGAATTTTATTCTGTCAAGATTTTGCTTCTCTCTCTCTCTTGGCCTTTCCTCGTCCTTATTCTTACATGGCGCCTTGAGACATTGGTGACAGGCGCCTTACAAAGAAATGTCAATTATTATTATAATCTCGTCAGGAACTTCGTCACGGAGAGCATTGTCTGCTGTTTTCCCTAAACTGACTGGTTTTTGGGGTAGTGTGAAGATGATTGCACTCGAGATGGTCCCGATAAACAATGAAACGATCTCATACTAATGATGATGAAAAAAAAAACGGGGATACAACCACAGACCGGGGCTCACTGCAACTCGCACCACAGCATATATTATCAGAGCCATGTCTGTTTGCATGTTTTGCCACAAGCACGTGTGGTTAACGCAGACTTGATGCCTTTTCAAAAGTATTTGTGGTTAACGCAGACTTGATGCCTTTTCAAAAGTATTTGAACATCTTAACACCTCTAGTTTTATTGACAGCACGTCCTACGCTATTCCCCCCCACCTTCGATAGAGCCACGTGCGATTGTTTATTAAAGCGCCTCACACGTGTCTCGGGAAGAGATGCCAGGTTGGCCACCGCCCTGACCCTTGCTGGCCCCACTCTGGCACTCACAGAGTGCAGCGACAAGCAGACAGCCGACCTGTACCTGCTGGTGGACGGCTCCAGCAGCGTGGGGCGCCGCAACTTTCATCTGGTGCTCAGGTTCCTCGCCAAGCTGGTGGACAAGCTGGACATCGGCAAAGACAAGGTCCGCGTGGGCATGGTGCAGTACAGCGGGAACATGAGGAGCCCCAGGATCAAGAAGGAGTTCAACATGGGGCAGTACGCGGACAAGAAGAAGCTCAAGGCCGCCATCCTGCGCACCAAATACATGCGCGGATTCACGTTCACCGGAGCGGCGCTAAGGCACACTCTGCAGCTCTTCAAGAGGCAGGGACGCCCCGGAGTCGGCAAGGTGAGCCTCGCGCAGAGGACGGGTGTGAAGGGATCCAAGACAAAAGGCTCGCAAATCCACATTCACCCTTAACGTCACAAAGCCACGATGCCACAAAATCTTCTTTGTCTCTGCCACAAGTGCCATTCGTAGCAATCTGGTGTGCTTTTAGCGCATAAAGAACGTCGTTTGGCAAGAGGTCCGACGTTTTTCTGCACGTGGTCAGAGCTTTCTCAGGATGATGATCAGATGATATGAAGACGATGACAATAATTAAGACCGGTATGGGATAATGATAACGATTGATTATGCCAATACTGCCGTATATCTCCCTACCAATGATTGATGTAATGATGATGCTGTGTTAGATGATAATGTTGTTGTCGATGATCATACATGATGATGACAATAATTACGATCGGTATGGGATGATGATAACGATTGATTATGCCAATACTGCCGTATATCTCCCTACCAATGATTGATGTAATGATGATGCTGTGTTAGATGATAATGTTGTTGTCGATGATCATACATGATGATGACAATTACGATCGGTATGGGATAATGATAACGATTGATTATGCCGATGCTGCCGTATCTCCCCCCCCCCCCCACCCCGCTCAGATCTTGGTGCTGGTGACGGACGGCGAGGCCAACGACAAGGTGAAGGACCCCTCGGACGAGGTGAAGTCGAGCGGCATCGTCCTCTTCTCCGTGGGCGTGGGCAAGGCGGACCGCAAAGAGCTGGCCCTCATGGCGTCTCCGCCCGTCGACAAGCACATGTTCCACGCCACCAACTTCGCCGGCCTCGACTCCATCATCACGACGCTCACCTCCACCGTCTGCACCGTCGTGCAGGAGGCCCAGACCCCGGCGCCGGTGACTGCGGCGACCCAGGCCGTCACCTTGCCGAGTAAAGGTGCGGGTGGTCTGTGCAGCGCCGTCTGGCATTGAGACGCACTTTCTCAAGGCAGTTTATTCGAACTAAATTCGAAGCTTTCGTGACCTGCAGGAATTACTCTTTGGTTCTTTGGGTGAAAGTGGCGTAGAAAGAAATTTAATTAAATGATAATAGAACACGACGTTTCGATTGCAACACAAGCAACCATCATGAGGTACAAATGAATGAGAAAACAAACCTAGTAAACTTGGAAATATAATGCAATACAACACAGAGAGTCGGCCAACACAAGAGTCAACACCCCACCTGGTTGATTACGTTCTGCCAAAGATTGCTACATTTGAGAGAGACAAAACACAGACACGGAGACACACAGACAGGCACACAAGCAGAGAGAGAGACTCACACAGAGACAAACAGAGCGAGACACACACATAGGCACACAGAAAGACAACGTCTCTGTGTCGAGGCCTTAAATAGAGAGAAAGGGGGGTGGGGGGTTGGGGCATAGGGGGAGTTGTGTGGAATTTTATTCTGTCAAGATTTTGCTTCTCTCTCTCTCTTGGCCTTTCCTCGTCCTTATTCTTACATGGCGCCTTGAGACATTGGTGAAAGGCGCCTTACAAAGAAATGTCAATTATTATTATAATCTCGTCAGGAACTTCGTCACGGAGAGCATTGTCTGCTGTTTTCCCTAAACTGACTGGTTTTTGGGGTAGTGTGAAGATGATTGCACTCGAGATGGTCCCGATAAACAATGAAACGATCTCATACTAATGATGATGAAAAAAAAACGGGGATACAACCACAGACCGGGGCTCACTGCAACTCGCACCACAGCATATATTATCAGAGCCATGTCTGTTTGCATGTTTTGCCACAAGCACGTGTGGTTAACGCAGACTTGATGCCTTTTCAAAAGTATTTGTGGTTAACGCAGACTTGATGCCTTTTCAAAAGTATTTGAACATCTTAACACCTCTAGTTTTATTGACAGCACGTCCTACGCTATTCCCCCCCACCTTCGATAGAGCCACGTGCGATTGTTTATTAAAGCGCCTCACACGTGTCTCGGGAAGAGATGCCAGGTTGGCCACCGCCCTGACCCTTGCTGGCCCCACTCTGGCACTCACAGAGTGCAGCGACAAGCAGACAGCCGACCTGTACCTGCTGGTGGACGGCTCCAGCAGCGTGGGGCGCCGCAACTTTCATCTGGTGCTCAGGTTCCTCGCCAAGCTGGTGGACAAGCTGGACATCGGCAAAGACAAGGTCCGCGTGGGCATGGTGCAGTACAGCGGGAACATGAGGAGCCCCAGGATCAAGAAGGAGTTCAACATGGGGCAGTACGCGGACAAGAAGAAGCTCAAGGCCGCCATCCTGCGCACCAAATACATGCGCGGATTCACGTTCACCGGAGCGGCGCTAAGGCACACTCTGCAGCTCTTCAAGAGGCAGGGACGCCCCGGAGTCGGCAAGGTGAGCCTCGCGCAGAGGACGGGTGTGAAGGGATCCAAGACAAAAGGCTCGCAAATCCACATTCACCCTTAACGTCACAAAGCCACGATGCCACAAAATCTTCTTTGTCTCTGCCACAAGTGCCATTCGTAGCAATCTGGTGTGCTTTTAGCGCATAAAGAACGTCGTTTGGCAAGAGGTCCGACGTTTTTCTGCACGTGGTCAGAGCTTTCTCAGGATGATGATCAGATGATATGAAGACGATGACAATAATTAAGACCGGTATGGGATAATGATAACGATTGATTATGCCAATACTGCCGTATATCTCCCTACCAATGATTGATGTAATGATGATGCTGTGTTAGATGATAATGTTGTTGTCGATGATCATACATGATGATGACAATAATTACGATCGGTATGGGATGATGATAACGATTGATTATGCCAATACTGCCGTATATCTCCCTACCAATGATTGATGTAATGATGATGCTGTGTTAGATGATAATGTTGTTGTCGATGATCATACATGATGATGACAATTACGATCGGTATGGGATAATGATAACGATTGATTATGCCGATGCTGCCGTATCTCCCCCCCCCCCACCCCGCTCAGATCTTGGTGCTGGTGACGGACGGCGAGGCCAACGACAAGGTGAAGGACCCCTCGGACGAGGTGAAGTCGAGCGGCATCGTCCTCTTCTCCGTGGGCGTGGGCAAGGCGGACCGCAAAGAGCTGGCCCTCATGGCGTCTCCGCCCGTCGACAAGCACATGTTCCACGCCACCAACTTCGCCGGCCTCGACTCCATCATCACGACGCTCACCTCCACCGTCTGCACCGTCGTGCAGGAGGCCCAGACCCCGGCGCCGGTGACTGCGGCGACCCAGGCCGTCACCTTGCCGAGTAAAGGTGCGGGTGGTCTGTGCAGCGCCGTCTGGCATTGAGACGCACTTTCTCAAGGCAGTTTATTCGAACTAAATTCGAAGCTTTCGTGACCTGCAGGAATTACTCTTTGGTTCTTTGGGTGAAAGTGGCGTAGAAAGAAATTTAATTAAATGATAATAGAACACGACGTTTCGATTGCAACACAAGCAACCATCATGAGGTACAAATGAATGAGAAAACAAACCTAGTAAACTTGGAAATATAATGCAATACAACACAGAGAGTCGGCCAACACAAGAGTCAACACCCCACCTGGTTGATTACGTTCTTCCAAAGATTGCTACATTTGAGAGAGACAAAACGCAGACACGGAGACACACAGACAGGCACACAAGCAGAGAGAGAGACTCACACAGAGACAAACAGAGCGAGACACAGACATAGGCACACAGAAAGACAACGTCTCTGTGTCGAGGCCTTAAATAGAGAGAAAGGTGGGTGGGGGGTTGGGGCATAGGGGGAATTGTGTGGAATTTTATTCTGTTAAGATTTTGCTTCTCTCTCTTGGCCTTTCCTCGTCCTCATTCTTACAAGGCGCCTTGAGACATTGGTGAAAGGCGCCTTACAAAGAAATGTCAATTATTATTATAATCTCGTCAGGAACTTCGTCACGGAGAGCATTGTCTGCTGTTTTCCCTAAACTGACTGGTTTTTGGGGTAGTGTGAAGATGATTGCACTCGAGATGGTCCCGATAAACAATGAAACGATCTCATACTAATGATGATGAAAAAAAACAGGGATACAACCACAGACCGGGGCTCACTGCAACTCGCACAACAGCATATATTATCAGAGCCATGTCTGTTTGCATGTTTTGCCACAAGCACGTGTGGTTAACGCAGACTTGATGCCTTTTCAAAAGTATTTGTGGTTAACGCAGACTTGATGCCTTTTCAAAAGTATTTGAACATCTTAACACCTCTAGTTTTATTGACAGCACGTCCTACGCTATTCCCCCCCCCCCACCTTCGATAGAGCCACGTGCGATTGTTTATTAAAGCGCCTCACACGTGTCTCGGGAAGAGATGCCAGATTGGCCACTGCCCTGACCCTTGCTGGCCCCACTCTGGCACTCACAGAGTGCAGTGACAAGCAGACGGCCGACCTGTACCTGCTGGTGGACGGCTCCAGCAGCGTGGGGCGCCGCAACTTTCATCTGGTGCTCAGGTTCCTCGCCAAGCTGGTGGACAAGCTGGACATCGGCAAAGACAAGGTCCGTGTGGGCATGGTGCAGTACAGTGGGAACATGAGGAGCCCCAGGATCAAGAAGGAGTTCGACATGGGGCAGTACGCGGACAAGAAGAAGCTCAAGGCCGCCATCCAGGGCACCAAATACATGCGCGGATTCACGTTCACCGGAGCGGCGCTACGGCACACTCTGCAGCTCTTCAAGAGGCAGGGACGCCCCGGAGTCGGCAAGGTGAGCCTCGCGCAGAGGACGGGTGTGAAGGGATCCAAGACAAAAGGCTCGCAAATCCACATTCACCCGCAACGTCACAAAGCCACGATGCCACAAAATCTTATTTGTCTCTGCCACAAGTGCCATTCGTAGCGCTCTGGTGTGCTTTTAGCGCATAAAGAACGTCGTTTGGCAAGAGGTCCGACGTTTTTCTGCACGTGGTCGGAGCTTTCTCAGGATGATGATCAGATAATATGATGACGATGAGAATAATTAAGACCGGTATAGGATAATGATAACGATTGATTATGCCAATACTGCCGTATATCTCCCTCCCAATGATTGATGTCATGATGATGCTGTGTTAGATGATAATGTTGTTGTCGATTATCATACATGATGATGACAATAATTACGATCGTTATGGGATAATGATAACGATTGATGATTCCGATGCTGCCGTATCTCCCCACCCCCCCCCGCCCCGCCCCCCGCTCAGATCTTGGTGCTGGTGACGGACGGCGAGGCCAACGACAAGGTGAAGGACCCCTCGGACGAGGTGAAGTCGAGCGGCATCGTCCTCTTCTCCGTGGGCGTGGGCAAGGCGGACCGCAAAGAGCTGGCCCTCATGGCGTCTCCGCCCGTCGACAAGCACATGTTCCACGCCACCAACTTCGCCGGCCTCGACTCCATCATCACGACGCTCACCTCCACCGTCTGCACCGTCGTGCAGGAGGCCCAGACCCCGGCGCCGACGCCACCGCCCGGTGGGTGACCGCGCTGTGCCCGCCGGCTCTCGTCGTCGTCATCATCAACCACCACCACCCTCCCTATCCCCTAAGCCACAACGTTGAACAATCTGAGTACGACGCTTCGCCGGCGATTAGAAACTAGCGAAACGTCGCACTTGGCTTGGATCTCCAACACACAGCCGGTTAGTGCTGTGCTGGTGACGAATTGGCCACGTTCTGTTTACGTGACACAACACCATACTGGTTGGCTGTGTCGGGTGGTGGCGGATTTAAACGACACAACATTTATATACTTTTTGGTTATTTCGGTAAAGTCACGTAGGTTAAAATAAAATAAGATATCAAATATTTTTTATAAATCAATAAAAGTACATTTCATCACGACGTTTCGATTGCAAGACTAATTTTATAGCTGTCATTTTCACACCTGATGATGATTGCTTGTGTCGCGATCGAAACGTCGTGATTTAATTTACTTTCATTTATTTAGTTTCCATTTCTATTTTTATTTCATTTAATTTTTCACCTACGTGATTTTACCGAAATAACCAAAGAGTATGGATCCTTGCAGTCACGATAACTTCAAATCTATAACGACACATTTAAATATTTACACGATCTAACCCGAAAAAAACCCGCTCTGTTCTGGATCATATTGGTCTCGAAAGCCTGCTACGGTGTTCATCTGCACCCCCTCCTTCTCCCTCCCCCGTCGCTTGCCGCTTTGTACCGGGCTCTTGTTTTAAACAAAACCAAAACAAAAAAAAACCTCTTCATCACCGCCGTCGCTATCTCCACCGCCAGGTCCATTCGCCAAGCTGGACGTGATCTTCGCCATCGACGGCTCGGCCGGCGTCGCGGCCGCCGACTTCACGCTCATGAAGGGCTTCGTCGCGCAGATCGTGCAGGGCCTCAGCGTCGGGGCGGCGCAGGTCCGCGTGGGGCTGGTGCAGCTGAGCGGCAAGCAAGGGTCCGAGTTCAAGCTGGGGCAGTTCTCCAGCCGGCAGGAGGTGGTCGCCGCCGTGGGGAAGGTCTCCGCGCACGGCGGCGGCAGGGCCATCGGCGCCACCGTGCAGTTCGCGCTCGCCACCGCCTTCTCGCAGGCAGAGGGCGGCAGGGCCGGGGAGGGAGTGCCGCAGGTGAGGCAGCGTGCGGGATGTGGTGGGGAGGGTGGGGAGGGGTGGGGGTCCGTGATTGACGGGGGAGGGGGAGTCCGTGATTGACAGGGGAGGGGGAGCCCGTGATTGAAAGGGGAGGGGGAGTCCGTGATTGACAGGGGAGAGGGGTCCGTGATTGACAGTGGGGGTGTCCGTGATTGACAGGGGAGGGGGGTCCGTGATTGACAGGGGAGGGGGAGCCCGTGATTGAAAGGGGAGGGGGAGTCCGTGATTGACAGGGGAGGGGGAGTCCATAATTGACGGGGGAGGGGGAGTCCGTGATTGACAGGGGAGGGGGAGTCCGTGATTGACAGGGGAGGGGGGGGGTCCGTGATTGACAGGGGAGGGGGGGGGTCCGTGATTGATGGGGGGGGGGTCCGTGATTGAAAGGGGAGGGGGAGTCCGTGATTGAAAGGGGGGAGGGAGTCCGTGATTGACAGGGGAGGGGGGTCCGTGATTGATGGGGGGGTCCGTGATTGACAGGGGAGGGGGGTCCGTGATTGACAGGGGAGGGGGGTCCGTGATTGACAGGGGAGAGGGGGGGGTCCGTGATTGACAGGGGGGGTTCTGTGGTTGGCGGTGATGATGGCGGTTTTCGTTTGCAATAAGTTCAACATACGCATACACAAACAATAAGTTCAACATACGCACACACATACACTAAGTTCAACATTACGCACACACATACACTAAGTTCAACATTACGCACATATCACGGCTGCAGTGGTGGTAACGCTGCCATCACCAAAGTCAAGTAAGGAGACTATCGTGGCCAATAAAAAAAAAACGTCGAAACCACGACACCCGGGGCACCCACTCCAACCTGCACTGCCCAGCGTGCTTGAAGCGTGCTGACACATTGTGTCAAATGTCGTGTCGCTGCTGCTCCTGTTGGCGATAATGCTTCTTCTGCTGCTGCTGCTCCAGCTCCAGCTCCAGACGCCGTCGCTGACCCCTGGTGCTGCCGCTGTCCGCTGACCATTCCCTCCGCCGCTCCCACACCACCCGCAGGTGCTGGTCATCATCACGGGCGGCGCCTCGTCTGACGCCGTGGCCCACTACCGTGGCCTGTTGCGAGCCCATGGGGTGCGCTCCTTCGTCATCGGCATCGGCGCCTTCCAGCTGCTGGACCTGCAGCGCCTGCCCAGTGACCCCATCGGCCTGCACCTCTACGCCGTGGGCGGCTACGCGCAGCTGTTGGGCATCGCCGGCCAGGTCACCTCCGTCATCGTAAGGCCAGGTGAGGTGACTTCTTCTTTTTTTTGTTCGTGACTATTTTCCGTTGTTATTTTTTTACGGGAAGGTGCCAACTGAGCTACGTAGCTCCTTTTCGGAAGCGGCCTGGCCATCACGGATGATAGATGGCCCGAGGCAGTGGATTATCGTCATCGTGTGGACATTTATATCATCATCATGTGGACATTTATAACAGACAAATACTCTAAATGCACCTGGATTCTAAATTTGGGGAGTTGAGGGGGGGGGGGGGGGGGGGGAATCCACACGGCCATGGGAAGAACACGCAAACTCCAAATATAGAGCAGGCGTCAGCATGGAGATTTAACCCACGACTCGCTGTATACCAGGCGAGGTAGTTAACAACACGCCAACGTGGGAACGGAGCCTTGGGGCCGCGGGTGAAGATGCGGGCGTGCCTCGATATGCGGAACAGATACGTTCGTGAAAATTTGCCCGCAAAGTTAATTAATTCCGTACGTCGAAGCCTGTTTTCTCATCAGTGTTCAATATAGAACTGGAGTAGCGTTCCTATGGAACATGTTTTGGCTCTGAGTTGTCGTAAAATGACACTTGAAAATGCATCCAAACCTTTTTGAAACACAAGCTTAATGGAAAATCGAAAACCTTACGATAAATCATTCATAGCGCGGCAATGCCCCGGTATACGTCGCCCCCCTATTAACGTCGTTTTGCAAATCCGTAGTCACTTTCTTATTAACACCACTACCCAGGTCCGCCCGCATTGAAACGGCTGTACGCCGTATGGACCTGAAAACTCACTTTCCCTGCACAACAATACGGGGCGAACCGTGATGCGTTGACACGGTACCCTTCTTACGGGACACCACGGCGATCGCCGCTGTGACATTGCGGTGGCCTCTGGGGCCACTTTCACTGAAGAAAACGTTCGGACAAAGGGTGAACCCCTGCACAGTGCAGTGCGCTATGTGTAAATTCCTTCGTTCCCTACGTAGCCGACCATGCTAATCGGAGGTAGCCGGGCGTGATCGGCACGAGGGGACGGAAGCAAAACGAGGCCGAGCTTTGGCCGCAATAACTCGGGAAACCCCAGCGTGGCGTTGAAAGCGTTTCCCACGCGCAAAACCACGGGGAGAGGCACGAAATGCACGCTCGGACAAACGATAGGCCGTTCCAATCGTTCGATTCATTTTTTTCTCTCCCCACTCCCCGAAAGCGCATGCAATTTTTTTTTCTCTCATTCAAGAGATTCAAAATGCCGTAATTTCGTTCCCGAATTGACAAGTTGCGTTCACGAGGGGCATTCTGTATACTGAGTGGACGTGTAACGAGGGAAGACCGTCCATCTTTTCCACCAGGGCAGCCTCCTGCTATTTTCTTTCTTGAGAACTGCTTTCTGTGTTTAAAGTGTCGTCCTTCACGCACACCTCCAATTAGCGCGGTTGGCTACGTGCGGTGCTAAAATAAGTTCAACATTCACAGATGCGCTGTTGTGTCTCTCCAAGTCACTCATCGCCATTCTTCACTCCCACGTCCTCCCGTTGTCCTACATCTTCCCCTCGTCTTCCTCCCCCCCCCCCCGACCCCACAGCGATATCCCTGGACTTGGTGTTCATGGTGGACGGCTCTCTGGGCGCTGCGTGGGGGGCCGTCAGGGCCTTCGTGTCCCACCTGCTCCTCTACGTGCAGGGCGGCGGGGGTGTCCTGCGCGTCGCGTTTGTCCAGTTCGCTGGCGATGTCACCGTCGAGGTGTGTGTGCGTGTGTGTGCGCGTGTGTGTTGAACTTCTTTTGCGCCACCGCACGCAGCCAACCGGGCTGATCGGATGGTGCGGGGGAAGGACAACAGACTTCGCGCAAAAATTCGCTCTGAAGAGAATGTGTTTTTAATCTAGATGATTTTAAAGCGCATGGCTCCAGCAGCAATGACTCTAGGGGCAAGTGCTGTTAGCGAGCACCTATAAAGGCTGGCACGGCACACGAGGGGGTGGGTGGCCAGCACCACGCCTGGCCGCCTTTGTCTCCCCAGTGGCGATGTTTACACACCACACAAGGCGCTCATTTGAGGCTGAGTCGACCTAGGAGAGGCCCAGGATCGGTTCAAATAATCGTCACTGGTGTTAGCCATGAGCGGGACACGAATTCGTGTTGCTGGGTTCGTACTGCTGCACTACCGCATGCACAAAGACAAAGATCCCCCATATAGCCTTAACAGACTGTTGGCACAAGTGCTGTCAGTGAGCACCTACCAAAGCCGACACGGCACACGAAGGGAGGTGAGTGGCCAGCACCGCGCCCGGCCGCCTTTGTCTCCCCAGTGGCGATGTTCACACACCGCACCAGGGTACTCATTATGAGCACGAGCCGACCTAGGGGAAGCCCAGCACCGGTGCGTTTGTGTTCCCCCGCTCCACCGCGCGCCCCCGTGCAGCTCTACCTGGACCAGGGCACGGAGGTGGCTGCGGTGCTCGCCAAGCTGCAGTCCGTGCAGCAGCTGTCGGGCGCCGGTGGACGCAACCTGGGCAAGGCGGTGAGCTTCGTGGGCGGCACGGTGCTGTCGGCAGCCAAGGGCGGGCGCGGTGCTGCCGGCGTGAACCAGGTGAGCGCAACCGGTCGCGCCACACCGGCAGCCGGTGGGCGTAGTCACGACGTTATCGATTCAGGGGGTGCGGCCGATCGATCAGGTAGCCCCCCCCCCCACCCCAATATTTGATTCAACCACAGGTCAGGACACGTTTCAGAATTATTTGGACTGGAGGAGGAATCCGATGAGCTATGGAGCTCTTTTCCGCAGCTGTCCAGTAGGGGCACGGGGTCAGCAAGCTGCAACAACAAAGAAAACAAAAAGGGTCACCTTCGACGTCCTTGACGCTCCCGTGTGAACACCGAGTAATTACCCGCGGGCCCATCGGCTCACGCGCACGGAGCCCCCCACAATTCTTACCGGAGCGCCTCTCCCTCTCTCTCTCTCACCTCGATGACCGCGACGACCTCCCGTGCGCAGGTGGTGGTGCTGTTCGTGGCGGGCCCCTCCACAGACGAGCCGTCCCAGGCGCTGTACGCGCTCAAGGCGTCCGGCGTGCGGGTCCTGGCGCTGGACCTTGGCGGGCTGGCACTGGCTCAGCTGGGCGGCCTCGTTAGCACGCCCTTCAACCTGCACTACTACAAGCTGTCGGGCGGAGCGCAGGTGCTGCCGCTCGCACTGGGCAGGATCCTCCACACCTCGCTCTATGCAGGTGAGAACTGCAGTTGATCATCGATTATCCGGCCGGGCGATTATCCGGCTGCTTCCAAGCATTGTCCGGCGGTCCCGGGTCGATCCGGCGAAACCGGCAACGTCTCTCCAAAGGCTGTAGCCCAGTCCGGCAATCGTCAAACTCATGGTTGTTGAAACAAGAGCGTAGTGCGTACATCACCCCATGCAGAGTCTTCAAGATTGGAGTGGTAAGTAGGGTAGAGTAAGAACAGTAACTTTTTACAGAAGGTCATTTATTTTTGTATAGTAAACAATTTTAAAACACAAAAAAACAGACACAAAACATCAAGAATGTGCATAACATGTTTTTAAATAACGACGTAGTGATTAGCTGGCGTTTTTTCATATTCGGCACCCCCCTTCCCACTGAAGCCGCTGGCTAATCGATGATCGCCTATATCATTGTCGTCATCACGATCCATGGGGCAGATAGCCCTGTAGGTTTTCCTCTGCACGTTTCGTCATTCGTTTCCACTTTACTCTCCGTCTTGTGTCAGTATGCTCAAGTAGTTGCCACATCTTTCTGGCACCAATCCATACCGTGTCAACCCGTACGGTTCACCCACGTGTTCTTGTACGGGGAAATTTAGTTCTCAGGTCCATACGGCGTACAGCCGTTTCAATACGGGCAACAACATGTTTTTTTGTCTATTTGTTTGTGTTTCTCCCTTGTGATGGGACTTTGTAGGATGAATGTTGAGATCTATAAGGGCACGGGGTAACCAATACGGTCTGTATTGTCTTTGAAACTACGTTATCAGAGCGTGTTTGTTTGCATGTTCACCGCAAGTACGTGCGGTTAATGCAGTAAATGATTCCTTGCAAAAGTTTTCTCTTTGGTGTTTGTACATCTTAACACCAGCTGCTTTATTGCCATAAAGGGTAAACCCCTATTATTATGACACGACACGAACTCTCTCTCTGCTGAAGCCCTCTTGTCGTGGCCAGCAGCGGACCACATCGCCGTTGCACCTCCGATTAGCACGGTCGGCTACGTACGGCGCGAACGAAGTTCAACGTGCGTGCATACTGTACATACACGAGGGCAGAACAGAATGAGAGCACTGGATGGGAAGCGCAGCAGCTCCACCAGACGAGATGTCGTCCCCCCCTACCACGTGCTCAGCGTACCCTTCCCTGTCCTAACCTCCACCACCAACCCCCCATCCACCTCGCTCTACCGACAGGTGTGACGCGCGGCGCCCAGTACGCCGACATCGTCTTCTACCTGGACAGCTCGGCCACGCTGGGCGCGGCCGGCTTCGTGTCCCTCAAGGCGTTCCTCGTGCAGGTGCTCTCCTACCTGCAGGTGGGGCGCTACACGGTGCGCGTGGCGGTCGTGCAGGTGGGCGGCGCGCCCGTCGCGGCCTTCCAGTTCAACTCGCACTCCGAGAGGAGCGCCCTCGTCGCTGCCGTCTCGCAGCTCAAGGCGGTGGGCGGGGCCAGGAACGTGGGCGCGGCGCTCTCCTTGGGCTACACGACCTACTTCTCGCAGGCATCCGACGCCGGCCTGCAGGTGCGTCCTGGTCCTGTAGGGGTCCTCCGGCCGTCAGGGAGGGGCCCTTTCCCGTCGCCCGCTTTCGGGCTTTGTGCTTTCGTGCTCCGATTGGCACGGTTGGCTGCGTGCGGTGGTGCGAAATAAGTTCAGCAAACAGACGTACATCAACATACACGCATACAATTGGCCCACACACACACACGGTGACCTCGCGACCTGTCCGCGTGCAGCCTGCCCAGGTGGGGATCCTGCTGACGGGCGGCGCGTCGGCCGACAACGCGGCCAAGGCCGCGGCACAGCTCCAGGCGAGCGGCGTGCGCCTCTTCGTGGTGGGCGTGGGATCCGGCGTGGACCAGGCCCTGATCCAGGGCGTGGCGTCGTTCCCGTACGCTCTGCACTCCTTCACGGTGTCGGACTACACGGGGCTCAGCAAAGTCGTCGTTACCAGCCTCGTCAAGTACATCTTCCGGCCCGGTGAGACCCCCGCCCGCCCGAGAGGCCCGGATTCTAACCCTTTGCGTGCAAGAAAAATGGGCGGCACTCGCAAGTTGCTTTCAGACTCCGCTGCTGCCGGAAGGGGCCTCGATGATGTCGAATATATAATGTGTGTATGTTGAACTTCTTTCGCACCGTACGTAGCCAACCGTGCTAATAGGACGTGCGGAGGAAGGACAACAAACTAAACACAAAAAGCAGTTGTAAAGAAATTAGTTTCAATCTAGTACAACAACTTATATTTGGTCTCCGGCGGAAAAATGTTCCCATTACGAACTACCAGTAATTCAGGGCTATAAGCTGAGATTCATATAGTACAGACAGCAGCAAGGATGAATGTTTACACGTGCCATCGCTTTTAAGCATAGCCTACTGCGTGCCAAAATAATTAGTTTGTCCTTCAAATAACCAGGGCGGAAGTACCGTGCCTGTGTTAGACACCACACCTACAGTACTCCTGGGTCATAGACCACACCAACAGCACACCTGTATCACAGTCCATGCCTGTGCACACCTATGTCATAGTCCATGTCTATAGCACACCTGTTGTCACAGTGTATGCCTGCACACACCTGTGTCATAGTTCACACCTGCAGTGCATCCGTGTTCAATACAGATCACACAAGATTGTCACAGCTGTGCCCTGAATGCAACTGAAAAGTAACCCCCGATTAACGTGTGTCTCACCCCGCCCTGGCAGTGGTCTCCGGCGACCTCGTGTTCCTGATTGATGGCTCGACAAGTGTGGAGCAGCAGACGTTCCACTTGATCAAGAAGTTTGTGGAACGGATCATCACAAATTACTACTACATAGGGGGCTCTCTGCGGGTGGCCGTCTACCAGTTCGGCGGTGCGGGCCGCCTCGAGGTACCCTTGGGCAATCAGAATGACGCCGACAGCCTCACGCACACCATCAGCAACATCGAGAAGGTCTCGGGGCCACGGAACCTGGGTGCATCGCTCACCTACGTCCTTAGCAACATCTACAAGGAAACCACCACCACCAAGCTCTCCCAGGTGTGTGCATTGGTGGTATGCACCACGCGCCTATACTACACACCACGGTGGAGAGATGTTAACTACCTCACCTGCTATACAAGAGGTCGTGGGTTCGTTCCCGACCCTGACGCCTATATTATTGGAGTTTGCATGTTCTTCCCATGGTTGCATGGTTTTTCTCCGGGTCCTCTGATTTTTCCCTCGACATTTGGAATCAACAGCGTTTAGAGTATTCGGTCGCTATAATTTTCCATGTGAAAAAGCCACTTCGCTGAGCTATAAATTGTGGCCACGTTGCTTCTGAAAACGAGTAAATAGCTTAGTGGGCCTTACCTGGTAAAATATGAAAATAGGTCAATATCATTGTCCGTGAAATTTGTGATTCACTAGTGTCTCCAGAACCTACCCCTCGCGAATGACAAAGGGAAACGCTACGCCTCGCGGAGAGTACGATGCTGAGAAAAACAAACAACGATGGTAACCCTACGAGAAACAATGAGCGGCCTAAACTAAGCAATTTTTATTTTACCAGGTAAGGCCCACTGAGCTGTATAGTTATTTTTTTTAAGAAAACGACCTGGCCATCACACATTTCAGCTCAACCAAGTGACTTATCATCACGTGGAAATGTACAGCAGGTCTGATGTTGGCGTGTCGGAATCGGTGCCGTGCAGAGCATCTTCATCATTTCCGGGGGGAAGTCGGACGACGACGTGACGGGGGCGGTGCAACTGCTGCGAGAGCGTGGGATCACGGTGACGGGTGTGGGCCACACGTCGTCCCAGCTCGACGCCGTCGTCAGCACCTCGTCTCACTGGTTCAAGTTCACGGAATCCGGCACCATCCTCAAAAGCTTTTACAATATCATCAGCGGTCTCTTCTTCACGGGTACGTGGTTGAAAGATGATGATTTGTATTCATTGAGGGGGGCTACGCTTTTGCAACTCAAAGTACCTTGCATCGCTTGCAACCATTCCGAAGCGAAACTGAACGATGTTTGTTTAACCAGGTGAGGCCCACCGAGGTTTATAGCTATTTTTCAGAAGCGACCTGGCTATCAAAAATGATAGCTCAACGAAGTGGCTTATCACGTGCAAATGTATTGCAGCCAAATACTCTAGGACCCAGAGCAAAATCCACGTGCATCACGGGGAGAACATGCAAACTCCAAATATAAAGGCATCAGAGTCGAACCCACAACTTCCTCTATACCAAGCGAGGTAGCTAACATCTAGCCACCGTGGCAGTGTCCATCAGGGGTGGGGAAGCTGTTCCGTACTGGGAGCTGAAAAAGGCTTCAAAATACAAACGAACCTCATCTTACTTGACACTAAGCTCTGATCAAGCTAAGGCTGGGACGTGTTGACTGTGTGCTCAGAACGACCTAGAAGACAGCCAGGGTGCATTGATTGGGCCAAAGTGCTCTGCCGTGGTGGTGTTACTTGGCGGACGTTAGCTCTTGTTGAACCTTGCGCGAGGGCGCCGAGAGCCTCGCAACGGCAGTGTGAGTCATGGGTCCGCTCAGCCAATGAGTACGCGCGTTGCATCTGCGAATCGAGAGCTCACAGGAAGGTAGGGCGCCACCCTCGTCCAATTGGCTGGATTGTGACACGCCCCCACGACCTAATGCTCAGCGAAGAAGCTCCTCGGACCAAAAGCTCCTGTTACGATGACGTGTTCTGGACTGCTCATAATTTTGATTTGAAGCTTTCGTGACTGCAGGAATCCATTCTCTTTGTTTCTTTCTGTAAAATCACTTTACCGAAAGAACCAAAGAGTATACTCATATTTGATTTTGCTCGCCCCCAGCCCACGCCCCCACACTCACCCTGACCCCCCCCCCCTGCAGCTATATAATCCCTCGTCACAGCCATCTCTTAGGCATACGTCAGCGATTGTTTTTTCGCTGTGTTTTGTCTCCACCTGAAGACGGACGCTTGTGTTGCGCCCAAAACGTCGTGATTTAATTTAATTGTTTTCATTTTTAATTTATTTTATTTTTGCCTACCTGACTTTACCGAAAAAAACAAAGAATATAGTATGCTCATAATTTGTTCAAAAGCAAAGCACTCTGGAGTGCTCTGGCCATTGATGAACGCACCCCAGTGACTGAGCATTCTCGATTTACATACACAATGCCAGCTCGAACACATTTCCCTCTATTACCAGATTGGCTAGTCAATCAGCAGGCTGCCTTTAGTGGGGTAAAGTGTGGACATACCTCTACAATATGTCTGGCCATTGTGGAATACCCTCTCGATGGGCCCTTCCTCCGGCAGTGGCATGAACAAGCAGCTTCTGAGCTTCACGTTTACATCGTAATTTTCTGGTGTGGCTAAGACACTTTCATAGGTGGCAGGCGTCGTGTCGCCGGAGACAATATGAAATGATGTTCGACCATGGAACTCGAGTTTGCCCATCCCTGTCCTACTCTTCCGGAGTGCCCTTCTCTCGTTACAGCCCATGGTGATGGCTTCTTCTTCTTGATTTCACAGTGCCCGTCGTGCCGATACCCAAGACCACGCAGGCTCCCACGACCACTACCACAACCACAACCAAAACAGCACCAACGACTACTACGCTAGCACCGACCACTCCAAAACCCACAACGAAGCCTGCTCCCGTCACCACGGTCGTTCCGGTGACTGTTCCGTCACCATATAGCATCGGTGAGTGAGGATGTTTGGATAAATGTGAACAAAAGCGTCGGTTTGATGTATGTATGTTGAACTTCTTTCACACCGTACTTAGCCAACCATACTAATCAGAGGTGCGGGGGAAGGACAACGAACTAAACACAAAAGCAGTGCTAAAGAAATTAATTTCAATCTAGATTTAAAAGTGTGTAGCTCCAGTAACTTCCTAATATCGGACGAGCATTCCAGGTGGCCGCAGAAGTGCGTCTGAAAGCGTGCGATGCGTTGACCGTCTTTGTTCGATGGCTTAGCCATGTGATGGTTTATGCTCCTTGACAAGATCGGCAAGGTATTGTGGTTCATTTGCGGTAAGCAATGATGATGCCCGAGGTGCGCTGGCATTGTTATTTCTTTTGTTACCGGCGTCAGTTGAAACGATGGGACAAGATTTTTTATTTGTTCAATCCCCTACCCACATTCATCTTCCCATCAGTACTAATTCGTACACCCCAGGCGATCAGCAAGTTGCCTACGTTTCGGTTAAGACGTCGGGACTCCTGAGAGCTTCCTCTAGCCAATGGTCTTCCATCAGCACTGATGTGACCAAGCAATTGTAGGGCTGTATCTTTTCTCTGATAGGCCTCATCAGGATGAGGATTTTGAGCACATATTTTCACTTGCCTATTCCTGCTTTTTGTAGAGTGCATCAGTTAGCCAACGTGCACGAGTACCACCGGACATGCCGTGATCATTATTCTCGCCACTTTACAGACAATCGCTACGGTGACGTGGTGTTCGTGGTGGACGGATCTTCCGGCATCTCGGCGGCCGACTTCGGGACCGTGCGGACGATCGTCTCCCAGATAATTACGGGGCTGCAAGTGGGGCCGGACAACACGCGTGTTGCGCTCGTGACCATTGGGGGCACTCCCAAAGTGGACATCTTCCTAAACTCGTTATCCGGAAAGGCCGAGCTGCTGACGGCCGTAGAAAAGTTGGTGCCGGTCGGAGGGCCGCTCAACCTGGGCGCAGCTCTGCAGGTGGTGGTCAACAGCGTCCTCAAGCCTGAGAAGGGCTCCCGCATTCACCTTGGAGCTCCCACGGTATGATCGGTCTTCCTCTGTATGGAAAAAAGTGTCTAGCTCTGAATTTAACTGCTTTTTGTCTTTAGTTTGTTATTCTTCCCCCGCACCTACGATTAGCGCATTTGGCTCCATACGGTTTGAAAGTTCAAAGTATACATACATAAATTAGCTGAATTACATCTGCATTGCTGAGGGTGATGGTCTAACTGGAACCATTGTCTACTGATCTTCGAGGCAAAATAGTTTGAACGTGTATTTTCTGGGGCCAAAAAAGTTAATCTCCCTGTCTTTCTGGATAATTATAGCTATTCAAGGATCTGTAAGGTCTACCTGGCTTACTTGTGGTTGATTGGAACTTGCGCAAAGAGAGTACCGCAGATTGGGCAGTCAATAGGAACGCGCTTGTCTTGTAGACGGACTGGCCCAGGTTGAAGTTGAGGAATGGACTGGAATGAGGACCAGGGTCTCTTATCCTCAGATCATTGTACAAACTGGAACTCTCAAACCAGTGCAGTTGTGGTAATTATGCGGTGCTGAAGTTGACCACCTGGTGATGTACTGCAGATGCTGGTGACGATCCTTGGCGGCAAACCAGCCGACGATGTTTCGGGGTCGGTGGTGACACTGAACGGGCTGGGGGTGCGTCACGTGGTGCTGTCGGGCGGATACCAGGACACAAAGGTGCTGGACAGCATCGCCACCTCCTCGCGCCTTGTCAAGACCTGGTCCTCATTCCAGTCCATCCTCAACTTCAACCTGGGCCATTTCGTCTACAAGACAAGTGAGTTCCACGTCGTCACTTTTGTCTGCACGAACGAAAGCGTCAAGCTCTATAGCGCCGTAACATGGCCAGCCGTTAGAAAGGTGCTGAACAAAAAAAAACATTGAACGTTCATCATTAGTCCACTGCAGTGAGAAAGTTGATTGGGTGACACTTGTGGCTATTCACAGTGTTGCGTAGTCTTGAGCGAGCTTCTGAATGACGGCAGTGGCATGCGGGCCGGCAACGGCAAAGGTGCGGTTTCCGAACGTTAGTTTCATCTTTTTCGGAACACGTGGGTGACTGTGTGCAGCAGATCAGGAGGTGCTGCCACAGTGGTGTCATGAAACTGCAAACTATTTTCTTTTTTATTTTACCAGGTAGGTGCCCACTGAGCTATATAGCTCTTTTTAGAAGCAACCTGGCCACAAATTATAGATCAACGATGTGGCTTATCAAATACTTAAAATGCACGTGGATTCTAAATTTGGAGGGAACCCCCCCGGAGGACCCGGAGAAATATCCACACGACCACGGGGGATAGAGAGAGATATGCAAACTTCAAATGTACAGCAGACGTCAGAGTCGGGACCGAAGCCATGCCATCCTTCCTGCATACCAGGCGAGGTCATTAACATCTCGCAACTGTGGCTAAAATGGCTAGGCAAACAGAAATTTCCATCCAGAGGATGTTGCCAGTTCGATCTCGTGGCGTGGCAGTTGAAACAACAGGCCCACAATTCTCTTAAATCCCGCTGCTATCCCCTAGCAAGCAGCATAAATGGGTTCACCAAAGCGGCAATCAGACTGAAGGTCGCGTGTGGCGAGGTAGTCCCACGTCTCCCGGAACTTCTCTACCTGGTGTGGTTACTAAGTTACCCGTACGGTACTCACACCGGCCTCACCAGCAACCTATTGGCCAGAATCGATCTGTGATTGGTGGCGGGAGATGAGATGTGGACCGAGATGTGATGATGTGCAGGATTGGTGGCTGGGATTAAGGTGACGAGGATGAGGTGAGGGGGAGGGAATGCGATCGGTGACCGGAGGAGGGACTGGAGCAGAAAGCTGTGGATGTCGGAGGGAGCTGTCGTTGATCTGTGCCTGCACCTCGGATTAGCACAGTTGGCTACGTACAGTTGCGAAATAAGTTCAACATGCATACGTGCCTGCTACATAGACAGGTCCAAATGATACTATTGCTACAAAAATAAATCATTGGGGTAGAGGGGGGGGTGCCCTTTTATTTTGTACCACAGGTAAGTATATACAAATAGTTACTTATTTTTTGGGTTCTGTATGTTTGTAAATAAGAAAACACCAAAACGTAACTCCACCCTACGGGCATCATTTATTATATTCATACATGAGGCTGTGTGAGAAGTCTCCCGATCATGCTGCCCCAAATTGTAAGTTACAAATGTGAAAATGTGTGTGCGTGCAGAGGAAAAGGCGAGTGTGGTGTTTGTGGTGGACACATCGACCATCACAGCCGATGAGCTCAAGGTGGTGAAGACATTCATCGTGGGTATAGCCCATCATCTGAACCTGGCACCCGACAGCGTGCGTCTGTCCGTCGTGAGCTACGGAGCCAACTACCAGAAGCTGGTGGGTCCGGCAGAGATCAACTCGCCCAAGCACCTGGAGGCCAAGCTGGGCAGTGTCCTCGTGCCTACGGGCGGAGCCACAAACACTGGCAAGGCCCTCACCTACACCATCACTGACCTGCTGGCCAAGGAGCCTGCAGATGTTAGCAAGGTGAGTAACGCTTGGCATTGTGAGGTTCATCTATCAGGTGCAGTAAGCTCCTGACAAACTCAGCCCCTATTGCTACGGTATTTAACATTCGGCACTGTACGTGGCAGAACTTAGTCGTCATCCCAGAAAGAGTGCAGGTAACGGATGCTCGTTTTATTCCATCAGAGCGTGGTGCTGATAACGAGCGGACCTTCGAGTGACTCCGTGGCCCCCATCCCGGAGCTGCTGCAGAAGCACGTGGTGAGCCTGTTTGCAGTGGGCGTGAAGTCCAGCGACGTCAAGCAGCTCCAGACGCTCGTGTCCCGTGGAGGATACTACTACCAGCTCTCGGACTACTCGCTGCTCTCAATGATCCATAGCCAGATCATCATCAAAGCCCTCTACCTGCCTGCCAGTGAGTGTGCCCTGCGTATCTACCCCACGATCCAATGAACTACTACCAATAGGATTCACTATTGGTAGTAACTCTTCTTCACCCATCGCACACACTCACAGATATATAGAGAGAGTCCGCCACCTGTCCTGGTTTTGCTCTTTTTCAGGGACACGAAACGTCTCAATGTGTTATCAGTTGTGTATAGGTACACCACTCAAGGCAATGCTAGTATATGTAGCTCTCCCCTCTGCCAGTGATGTGAGGTATTCTTCTTTCTATAATATGTCCATTTTTGTGTACCTCAGGTGGCAGACATACTCACATAGCACGCAGAAAATGTAGAGTTGCTGAAACTTCACAATCAGTTGCCACCAAATTGTAAGCAATCCCTTATTGGGGGAAACGATCTACGTATCTCATGTAATTCCAATAAATACTAGTTAACACTTACATCATGTAAGTTTGTCAGTAGCACGGTTCATCCAGTTATGTTTGATCATGTTGATCGTATCCATTTGCTGAACGAAAACGTGATGAGGTCGCACTCATTCACACGAAGTGTTCGCCACAAATTAACCACAATGCTTTGTTGATCTGTCGAGGACCATAAATCATCACGGGAAGTCCGATTATCCTAGCGGTGGCTTTTGGCTAACCAAAAACACAAAGGCGGTCACTACATCGCGTGCTTTCAGGTGCACTTCTGTCACTGGAGCTGTGCGCTTAAAAATCTAGATTGAAAACGAGAATTTCTTTAGAACTGGCTTTTCAGTGGTTAGTTTGTCCTTCCGACACAGCTCGGATTAGCAAGGTTAGCTACGTACGGTGTGGAAGAAGTTCAACCCACATACATATTGAAACCATAAATGAGCTAGGCATGTCCGTTTCTAATTATACGTCATGGAATGTTTATCAATCTGGCGAAGGAGGTATTACGGAAACCTGGTCTCTCTATTGTATTATTTTACAAAAATGCATATTTACTCTGGGTCCTAATGGAGTGTTTTGCGTGTGTTTCAGTTCAACAGGCCGTCACAAGTAAGTGCTGTTTCATTATCTTCACTGTTCGTCAAACACCGTAAACTCCGAACATTGAAGCTTTGTCACGTTGTGCTGTGCATACTCCATGTTCATGCCGTAAAATCGTGTAACCCTCTATTCTAATTCACAGCTACGGTGGTGACAAACGAGTTCCAGTACAAGTTGGTACCAGGTGAGGTGCTCCCTCCCGTGCGTGCCGTCGGTGAAGACGTTTTAAGTTGTCCCTGCCCATTGTCGTGTTACTCTGCTGCTGTTGCATAATGTCGTTGGCTTGGCAGGGCCGTGATGGTGGCTGTGTCTGTGTGTGGCGTCGACCAGGCAACCGTGACGCGGACGTGGTGTTCGTGGTGGACGGCTCATCCGAAGTGTCAGACGCCAACTTCGCGCTAGTGCGGACGATCGTCTCCCAGATAATTGCGGGGCTGGACGTGGGGCCGGACGCGACTCGCGTCGCACTGGTGACCGTGGGGGGCACACCCAGAGCGGATATCTCATTCAACTCGTTCCCTGGAAAGGCCAAGCTCCTGGCCGCGGTGGGAAAGCTGGCGCCGGCTGGGGGACCGCGCAATCTGGGAGCGGCTCTGCAGCTGGTGGCCAACAGCGTCCTGAAGCCTGACAAGGGCTCGCGCAGTCAATTGGGCTCTACCACGGTAGGTCATTTTTCCTGTGTGGAGGGGACAAAGCTATGCAGCTCTACCTGATGAAGTACACTACTCGAATCATATCTGCAGCCATGAGAATCATGACCTACAGGCAACTACTGTTCGCTACCTCGGATTAGCGCGGTTGGCTACTTACGGTGTGAGAGAAGTTACACATACATCTATTGCTCTTTCATTTGAATGTATTTTACACGAAGATAAGCTTGGGCCTAATAATTTCCAATCTCTGTTTTCTTTCGACAATTTTGACCAACTGTTTTTTCTGGGTTCTAATCAGCTCTGTCTGTTTACTACTGGATTGTTTGTATCTCAGCTGAGATATGAATGCAGTTCGATCTCCCGGCACTGCCGTCTTATACCCTCAGATCGTTTACACAATTCTGGGTGGCAAGCCCGCTGACGATGTGACCGCGGGAGCATCCCTGCTGCGTGGTATGGGCGTGCTCGTGTCCGCGTTCGGAGCCGGCTACAAGGACTCCAGTGTGCTGTCCAGCATCGCCACCTCCAGCTCACAGGTGTTCACCTGGTCCAGCTTCCAAGACCTGGTCACCAAGAGCAGCTCCCTCACGGGGAACAGCCTCTACCTGCCGAGTACGTTGGGCCAGCCAAACATTCACCCTACTGGCCTGGATCTCACAGCTGCACCCTAAAAGCCTTGTTTGAAGGAAGCTTATTAGAAATACGAACTGTCATTTGTCCTACACAGATTGTTATTGTTGAGCCATTACATTTCTGTGTTGCATGGAAAGTGTTCCCTTATGGAAGAACCAAGTTGTAGCAAAAAGGCATTTTGAGATGCCATATTTTCCATTAATTTTGTGGTTATCGTATACAGCATACCGCACGTACAATTCCCATCAATTAAAAAATCACGGGTCAAATATGTGAGCATAAGCTTTTACCAGCAATAGTAACAAGACAACTACAGCGATGTGTGAGCATAAAACAACGTGGACTGGCAAGCACAAATGCTGAATTGGCAAAGGGCACGAACGGACAGGTAGAGGACAAGCTGGGTGACTTATCATAAAGAGCTTGGTGGGCTGGGCTGAAAGGGGTGGAAGCTCTACGAGCAGCAAAATAAAAGGATTGAGAGGGATGAAGAGCAGTGCATCTCTTGCACCAACATAGCAGAAATGTCTACGGAGTTACATGTTGCGGAATTGCATAAAGGCAAATCCTTAAATCTGTACGTTTGTCTGCAGAGAGGAAAGCAAGTGTGACGTTTGTGGTGGACACATCGAGCACCATCACGGCCGATGAACTCAAGGTGGTGAAGACATTCATCGTGGGCATGGCCAATCGCCTGAACCTGGCACCCGACAGCGTGCGTCTGTCCGTCGTGAGCTACGGAGCCGACTACCAGAAGCTGGTGGGTCCAGCAGAGATCAACTCGCCCAAGCACCTGGAGGCCAAGCTGGGCAGTGTCCTCGTGCCCACGGGTGGCGCCACAAACACTGGAAAGGCCCTCACCTACACCATCACTGACCTGCTGGCCAAGGAGCCTGAAGATGCCACCAAGGTGAGTGGCGCTCATGCACTGTGATGCAGTTGCTTGTGGTGACTCAACATTGTAGACTTCTGATGATTTACCACTTCGTCGTGATTCTGGATAACGCTTCTGGTTTGTATGGGGGAGGAATGGTTTATGCCCCGTTTGTATATTTGCATTACTCCATGAGCCTAAATAAGAAGGGGCAGATCCTAAAGAGGAAAGACCCAGTGGGGTCTCATCAGGAAGGGGTGGAGCCTGAGGAATAAGGAGGCGGGGCATAAAGAGGAAGGGCCGGGGTCTACAGAGGTTGAATTTCCCCGTTGAATTAAATCAATACAAGCAAGAGGTAGTGTACATTTAGAGCCACAGATGCAGCCACAAGCCATCTAGTCTACTTTAATGGTGACGTAAATAAATCATTATATGCCTACATAATCCTAATCTAATTTTATATATACACAGCACATTCACTCAAGGCGCTTGACAGTTTGAAACACAATGACAGAATATAATGATATAGATGACAGGTGCGTGCAAGGATTGAGGAATGAGTGACCATGATAGAGAGTATTTGGGAGTCACAAAAGGGTAGAGGAGAGACAAAAAGGAGTTGAGGGCTACGTGAGGCACGAGAATGGGCATTAGAAAAGAGGTGAGCCTTTAAGAGAGTGGGGTTGTGACTACGAAGTCTGGGAACCTGACAGACTCGGCCTTGAATGTTTCTTTTCCACTGTACAACTGACCCCTACTGGAGCCATGCCAAGTCAACCAGCTGTGGCTCAGGAGGCCCCAGGTATTTTTTTGGTGCAGAAGCTGAACCTTGCTACTAATGTCGCACACAATGAACGTGCCATTAGCCCCACACCTGGCCCATCTTAGCCCTGAGACAGATTCACATATCTCATTTGGCCAACGTATCAGGGTTCGGTTCTGGCTCGGCATGACAAATAGCCTGTCGAAAACAACCGCTCAGCTCACATGTGCCGGCGGTAAAAGGCGGCCATGATATTTTTCTACTGTTAGCACACACGGCAAGACGCATTCATCGTCCCCAGGAATAACTTTGGAACCCCGGGTGATCGTTTATTCCATCAGAGCGTGGTGCTGATAACGAGCGGGCCTTCCAGCGACTCCGTTGCCCCCATCGCGGAGCTGCTGCAGAAGCACGTGGTGAGCCTGTTTGCGGTGGGCGTGAAGTCCAGCGACGTCCAGCAGCTCCACACGCTCGTGTCCCGTGGAGGATACTACTACCAGCTCTCAGACTACTCGCTGCTCTTCCGCCTGCAAGGCCAGATGGTCAACAAGGTCCTCTACCTGCCTGCAAGTGAGTCTGCAACACCGAGCTAAGTACAGTCGCCATTTGCCTTCACCAACATAAACTAGGAGCAGTTTCTCAGCAACTGAAATAGTTCACCTCAAGTATTTTAACTCGAAAATTTACTTGGTTTGTATTACCTGTACTACCTAGAACAGGATCCTATCAACATAATGCATCCTCATGCAGTCCTTTTTCTAAAATACTTTAACACCTTTAAGTGATCGCGAATATTGTCGAGTCATTCTGGATGTGAAGTCCTCCTGCAGGGACTCCATAATGGACCATGACAGGAAGAGTTGCTTTTAAGTATGAGTTGTAAGTAACAGTTGTCTCTACTTTTGCGTTTCAGTCCAAAAGGCCACGACCAGTAAGTGTTTGTTATCCTCTCTGCACCACATGATCCTTTTTGGAAATCCTCAGGCAGTTTGCTGAGTGGTCACATATCCATGACCATGTCATCTTATTCACACTCGCTCTCATTCACAGCTATTGTGGTGACAAAGGAGTCCCAGTACAAGGTGGTGCCAGGTGAGACACGTCCTGGCTTTTTTGCACTCCATGCCTGCCATCGGCGAAGAAGTGTTGAGTTTTCCCTGCTCAATGTCACGTTCCTTTTGCTGGTGTTGTAGAATGTCGTTGGCTTGGCAGGGCTGTGATGGTGGCTGTGTCTGTGTGTGGCCGTCGACCAGGCAACCGTGACGCGGACGTGGTGTTCGTGGTGGACGGCTCATCCGAAGTGTCGGACGCCAACTTCGCGCTAGTGCGGACGATCGTCTCCCAGATAATTGCGGGGCTGGACGTGGGGCCGGACGCGACTCGCGTCGCACTGGTGACCGTGGGGGGCACACCCAGAGCGGATATCTCATTCGACTCGTTCCCTGGAAAGGCCGAGCTCCTGGCCGCGGTGGGAAAGCTGGCGCCGGCTGGGGGACCGCGCAATCTGGGAGCGGCTCTGCAGCTGGTGGCCAACAGCGTCCTCAAGCCTGACAAGGGCTCGCGCAGTCAATTGGGCTCTACCACGGTACGGTCATTTTTCCTGTGTGGAGGGGACAAAGCTACGCAGCTCTACCTGATGAAGTACACTACTCGAATCATATCTGCAGCCATGAGAATCATGACCTACAGGCAACTACTGTTCGCAACCTCGGATTAGCGCGGTTGGCTACTTACGGTGTGAGAGAAGTTACACATACATCTATGGCTCTTTCATTTGAATGTATTTTACACGAAGATAAGCTTGGGCCTAAAAATTGCCAATCTCTGTTTTCTTTCGACAATTTTGACCAACTGTTTTTCTGGGTTCTAATCAGCTCTGTCTGTTTACTACTGGATTGTTTGTATCTCAGCTGAGATATGAATGCAGTTCGATCTCCTGGCACTGCCCTCTTATACCCTCAGATCGTTTACACAATTCTGGGTGGCAAGCCCGCTGACGATGTGACCGCGGGAGCATCCCTGCTGCGTGGTATGGGCGTGCTCGTGTCCGCGTTCGGAGCCGGCTACCAGGACTCCAGTGTGCTGTCCAGCATCGCCACCTCCAGCTCACAGGTGTTCACCTGGTCCAGCTTCCAAGACCTGGTCACCAAGAGCAGCTCCCTCACGGGGAACAGCCTCTACCTGCCGAGTACGTTGGGCCAGCCAAACATTCACCCTACTGGCCTGGATCTCACAGCTGCACCCTAAAAGCCTTGTTTGAAGGAAGCTTATTAGAAATACGAACTGTCATTTGTCCTACACAGATTGTTATTGTTGAGCCATTACATTTCTGTGTTGCATGGAAAGTGTTCCCTTATGGAAGAACCAAGTTGTAGCAAAAAGGCATTTTGAGATGCCATATTTTCCATTAATTTTGTGGTTATCGTATACAGCATACCGCACGTACAATTCCCATCAATTAAAAAATCACGGGTCAAATATGTGAGCATAAGCTTTTACCAGCAATAGTAACAAGACAACTACAGCGATGTGTGAGCATAAAACAACGTGGACTGGCAAGCACAAATGCTGAATTGGCAAAGGGCACGAACGGACAGGTAGAGGACAAGCTGGGTGACTTATCATAAAGAGCTTGGTGGGCTGGGCTGAAAAGGGTGGAAGCTCTACGAGCAGCAAAATAAAAGGATTGAGAGGGATGAAGAGCAGTGCATCTCTTGCACCAACATAGCAGAAATGTCTACGGAGTTACATGTTGCGGAATTGCATAAAGGCAAATCCTTAAATCTGTACGTTTGTCTGCAGAGAGGAAAGCAAGTGTGACGTTTGTGGTGGACACATCGAGCACCATCACGGCCGATGAGCTCAAGGTGGTGAAGACATTCATCGTGGGCATGGCCAATCGCCTGAACCTGGCACCCGACAGCGTGCGTCTGTCCGTCGTGAGCTACGGAGCCGACTACCAGAAGCTGGTGGGTCCAGCAGAGATCAACTCGCCCAAGCACCTGGAGGCCAAGCTGGGCAGTGTCCTCGTGCCCACGGGTGGCGCCACAAACACTGGAAAGGCCCTCACCTACACCATCACCGACCTGCTGGCCAAGGAGCCTGAAGATGCCACCAAGGTGAGTGGCGCTCATGCACTGTGATGCAGTTGCTTGTGGTGACTCAACATTGTAGACTTCTGATGATTTACCACTTCGTCGTGATTCTGGATAACGCTTCTGGTTTGTATGGGGGAGGAATGGTTTATGCCCCGTTTGTATATTTGCATTACTCCATGAGCCTAAATAAGAAGGGGCAGATCCTAAAGAGGAAAGACCCAGTGGGGTCTCATCAGGAAGGGGTGGAGCCTGAGGAATAAGGAGGCGGGGCATAAAGAGGAAGGGCCGGGGTCTACAGAGGTTGAATTTCCCCATTGAATTAAATCAATACAAGCAAGAGGTAGTGTACATTTAGAGCCACAGATGCAGCCACAAGCCATCTAGTCTACTTTAATGGTGACGTAAATAAATCATTATATGCCTACATAATCCTAATCTAATTTTATATATACACAGCACATTCACTCAAGGCGCTTGACAGTTTGAAACACAATGACAGAATATAATGATATAGATGACAGGTGCGTGCAAGGATTGAGGAATGAGTGACCATGATAGAGAGTATTTGGGAGTCACAAAAGGGTAGAGGAGAGACAAAAAGGAGTTGAGGGCTACGTGAGGCACGAGAATGGGCATTAGAAAAGAGGTGAGCCTTTAAGAGAGTGGGGTTGTGACTACGAAGTCTGGGAACCTGACAGACTCGGCCTTGAATGTTTCTTTTCCACTGTACAACTGACCCCTACTGGAGCCATGCCAAGTCAGCCAGCTGTGGCTCAGGAGGCCCCAGGTATGTTTTTTGGTGCAGAAGCTGAACCTTGCTACTAATGTCGCACACAATGAACGTGCCATTAGCCCCACACCTGGCCCATCTTAGCCCTGAGACAGATTCACATATCTCATTTGGCCAACGTATCAGGGTTCGGTTCTGGCTCGGCATGACAAATAGCCTGTCGAAAACAACCGCTCAGCTCACATGTGCCGGCGGTAAAAGGCGGCCATGATATTTTTCTACTGTTAGCACACACGGCAAGACGCATTCATCGTCCCCAGGAATAACTTTGGAACCCCGGGTGATCGTTTATTCCATCAGAGCGTGGTGCTGATAACGAGTGGGCCTTCCAGCGACTCCGTTGCCCCCATCGCGGAGCTGCTGCAGAAGCACGTGGTGAGCCTGTTTGCGGTGGGCGTGAAGTCCAGCGACGTCCAGCAGCTCCACACGCTCGTGTCCCGTGGAGGATACTACTACCAGCTCTCAGACTACTCGCTGCTCTTCCGCCTGCAAGGCCAGATGGTCAACAAGGTCCTCTACCTGCCTGCAAGTGAGTCTGCAACACCGAGCTAAGTACAGTCGCCATTTGCCTTCACCAACATAAACTAGGAGCAGTTTCTCAGCAACTGAAATAGTTCACCTCAAGTATTTTAACTCGAAAATTTACTTGGTTTGTATTACCTGTACTACCTAGAACAGGATCCTATCAACATAATGCGTCCTCATGCAGTCCTTTTTCTAAAATACTTTAACACCTTTAAGTGATCGCGAATATTGTCGAGTCATTCTGGATGTGAAGTCCTCCTGCAGGGACTCCATAATGGACCATGACAGGAAGAGTTGCTTTTAAGTATGAGTTGTAAGTAACAGTTGTCTCTACTTTTGCGTTTCAGTCCAAAAGGCCACGACCAGTAAGTGTTTGTTATCCTCTCTGCACCACATGATCCTTTTTGGAAATCCTCAGGCAGTTTGCTGAGTGGTCACATATCCATGACCATGTCATCTTATTCACACTTGCTCTCATTCACAGCTATTGTGGTGACAAAGGAGTCCCAGTACAAGGTGGTGCCAGGTGAGACACGTCCTGGCTTTTTTGCACTCCATGCCTGCCATCGGCGAAGAAGTATTGAGTTTTCCCTGCTCAATGTCACGTTCCTTTTGCTGGTGTTGTAGAATGTCGTTGGCTTGGCAGGGCTGTGATGGTGGCTGTGTCTGTGTGTGGCCGTCGACCAGGCAACCGTGACGCGGACGTGGTGTTCGTGGTGGACGGCTCATCCGAAGTGTCGGACGCCAACTTCGCGCTAGTGCGGACGATCGTCTCCCAGATAATTGCGGGGCTGGACGTGGGGCCGGACGCGACTCGCGTCGCACTGGTGACCGTGGGGGGCACACCCAGAGCGGATATCTCATTCGACTCGTTCCCTGGAAAGGCCGAGCTCCTGGCCGCGGTGGGAAAGCTGGCGCCGGCTGGGGGACCGCGCAATCTGGGAGCGGCTCTGCAGCTGGTGGCCAACAGCGTCCTCAAGCCTGACAAGGGCTCACGCAGTCAATTGGGCTCTACCACGGTACGGTCATTTTTCCTGTGTGGAGGGGACAAAGCTACGCAGCTCTACCTGATGAAGTACACTACTCGAATCATATCTGCAGCCATGAGAATCATGACCTACAGGCAACTACTGTTCGCAACCTCGGATTAGCGCGGTTGGCTACTTACGGTGTGAGAGAAGTTACACATACATCTATGGCTCTTTCATTTGAATGTATTTTACACGAAGATAAGCTTGGGCCTAAAAATTGCCAATCTCTGTTTTCTTTCGACAATTTTGACCAACTGTTTTTCTGGGTTCTAATCAGCTCTGTCTGTTTACTACTGGATTGTTTGTATCTCAGCTGAGATATGAATGCGGTTCGATCTCCTGGCACTGCCCTCTTATACCCTCAGATCGTTTACACAATTCTGGGTGGCAAGCCCGCTGACGATGTGACCGCGGGAGCATCCCTGCTGCGTGGTATGGGCGTGCTCGTGTCCGCGTTCGGAGCCGGCTACCAGGACTCCAGTGTGCTGTCCAGCATCGCCACCTCCAGCTCACAGGTGTTCACCTGGTCCAGCTTCCAAGACCTGGTCACCAAGAGCAGCTCCCTCACGGGGAACAGCCTCTACCTGCCGAGTACGTTGGGCCAGCCAAACATTCACCCTACTGGCCTGGATCTCACAGCTGCACCCTAAAAGCCTTGTTTGAAGGAAGTTTATTAGAAATACGAACTGTCATTTGTCCTACACATATTGTTATTGTTGAGCCATTATATTTCTGTGTTGCGTGGAAAGTGTTCCCTTATGGAAGAACCAAGTTGTAGCAAAAAGGCGTTTTGAGATGCCATATTTTCCATTATTTTTGTGGTTATCATATACAGCATACCGCACGTAAAATTCCCATCAATTAAAAAATCACGGGTCAAATTTGTGAGCATAAGCTTTTACCAGCAATAGTAACAAGACAACTACAGCGATGTGAGAGCATAAAACAACGTGGACTGGCAAGCACAAATGCTGAATTGGCAAAGGGCACGAACGGACAGGTAGAGGACAAGCTGGGTGACTTATCATAAAGAGCTTGGTGGGCTGGGCTGAAGGAGGTGGAAGCTCTACGAGCAGCAAAATAAAAGGATTGAGAGGGATGAATAGCAGTGCATCTCTTGCACCAACATAGCAGAAATGTCTACGGAATTACATGTTGTGGAATTGCATAAAGACAAATCCTTAAATCTGTACGTTTGTCTGCAGAGAGGAAAGCAAGTGTGACGTTTGTGGTGGACACATCGAGCACCATCACGGCCGATGAGCTCAAGGTGGTGAAGACATTCATCGTGGGCATGGCCAATCGCCTGAACCTGGCACCCGACAGCGTGCGTCTGTCCGTCGTGAGCTACGGAGCCGACTACCAGAAGCTGGTGGGTCCAGCAGAGATCAACTCGCCCAAGCACCTGGAGACCAAGCTGGGCAGTGTCCTCGTGCCCACGGGTGGCGCCACAAACACTGGCAAGGCCCTCACCTACACCATCACCGACCTGCTGGCCAAGGAGCCTGAAGATGCCACCAAGGTGAGTGGCGCTCATGCACTGTGATGCAGTTGCTTGTGGTGACTCAACATTGTAGACTTCTGATGATTTACCACTTCGTCGTGATTCTGGATAACGCTTCTGGTTTGTATGGGGGAGGAATGGTTTCTGCCCCGTTTGTATATTTGCATTACTCCATGAGCCTAAATAAGAAGGGGCAGATCCTAAAGAGGAAAGACCCAATGGGGCCTCATCAGGAAGGGGTGGAGCATGAGGAATAAGGAGGCGGGGCATAAAGAGGAAGGGCCGGGGTCTACAGAGGTTGAATTTCCCCGTTGAAGTAAATCAATACAAGCAAGAGGTAGTGTACATTTAGAGCCACAGATGCAGCCACAAGCCATCTAGTCTACTTTAATGGTGACGTAAATAAATCGTTATATGCCTACATAATCCTAATCTAATTTTATATATACACAGCACATTCACTCAAGGCTCTTTACAGTTTGAAACACAGTGACAGAATATAATGATATAGATGACAGGGGCGTGCAAGGATTGAGGAATGAGTGACCATGATAGAGAGTATTTGGGAGTCACAAAAGGGTAGAGGAGAGACAAGAAGGAGTTGAGGGCTACGTGAGGCACGAGAATGGGCATTAGAAAAGAGGTGAGCCTTTAAGAGAGTGGGGTTGTGACTACGAAGTCTGGGAACCTGACAGACTCGGCCTTGAATGTTTCTTTTCCACTGTACAACTGACCCCTACTGGAGCCATGCCAAGTCAACCAGCTGTTGCTCAGGAGGCCCCAGGTATTTTTTTGGTGCAGAAGCTGAACCTTGCTACTAATGTCGCACACAATGAACGTGCCATTACCCCCACACCTGGCCCATCTTAGCCCTGAGACAGATTCACATATCTCATTTGGCCAACGTATCAGAGTTCGGTTCTGGCTCGGCATGACAAATAGCCTGTCGAAAACAACCGCTCAGCTCACATGTGCCGGCGGTAAAAGGCGGCCATGATATTTTTCTACCGTTAGCACACACGGCAAGACGCATTCATCGTTCCCAGGAAAAACTTTGGAACCCCGGGTGCTCGTTTCTTCCATCAGAGCGTGGTGCTGATAACGAGCGGGCCTTCCAGCGACTCCGTTGCCCCCATCGCGGAGCTGCTGCAGAAGCACGTGGTGAGCCTGTTTGCGGTGGGCGTGAAGTCCAGCAACGTCCAGCAGCTCCACACGCTCGTGTCCCGTGGAGGATACTACTACCAGCTCTCAGACTACTCGCTGCTCTTCCGCCTGCAAGGCCAGATGGTCAACAAGGTCCTCTACCTGCCTGCAAGTGAGTCTGCAACACCGAGCTAAGTACAGTCGCCATTTGCCTTCACCACCATAAACTATGAGCAGTTTCTCAGCAACTGAAATAGTTCACCTCAAGTGATTTAACTCGAAAATTTACTTGGTTTTTATTACCTGTACTACCTAGAACAGGATCCTATCAACATAATGCGTCCTCATGCAGTCCTTTTTCTAAAATACTTCAACACCTTTAAGTGATCGCGAATATTGTCGAGTAATTCTGGATGTGAAGTCCTCCTGCAGGGACTCTATAATGGACCATTACAAGAAGAGTTGCTTTTAAGTATGAGTTGTAAGTAACAGTTGTCTCTACTTTTGCGTTTCAGTCCAAAAGGCCACGACCAGTAAGTGTTTGTTATCCTCTCTGCACCACATGATCCTTTTTGGAAATCCTCAGGCAGTTTGCTGAGTGGTCACATATCCATGACCATGTCATCTTATTCACACTCGCTCTCATTCACAGCTATTGTGGTGACAAAGGAGTCCCAGTACAAGGTGGTGCCAGGTGAGACACGTCCTGGCTTTTTTGCACTCCATGCCTGCCATCGGCGAAGAAGTATTGAGTTTTCCCTGCTCAATGTCACGTTCCTTTTGCTGGTGTTGTAGAATGTCGTTGGCTTGGCAGGGCTGTGATGGTGGCTGTGTCTGTGTGTGGCCGTCGACCAGGCAACCGTGACGCGGACGTGGTGTTCGTGGTGGACGGCTCATCCGAAGTGTCGGACGCCAACTTCGCGCTAGTGCGGACGATCGTCTCCCAGATAATTGCGGGGCTGGACGTGGGGCCGGACGCGACTCGCGTCGCACTGGTGACCGTGGGGGGCACACCCAGAGCGGATATCTCATTCAACTTGTTCCCTGGAAAGGCCGAGCTCCTGGCCGCGGTGGGAAAACTGGCGCCGGCTGGGGGACCGCGCAATCTGGGAGCGGCTCTGCAGCTGGTGGCCAACAGCGTCCTCAAGCCTGACAAGGGCTCGCGCATTCAACTGGGCTCTACCACGGTACGGTGGTTCTTCCTATGAGAGGGGACAAAGCTATGCAGCTCTACCTGATCAAGTACACTACACGAATCATATCTGCAGCCGTGAGAATCATGACCTACAGGCAACTACTGTTCATTGCTCTTTGATGTGAATGCATTTTATACGAGTATAGGCTTTGGCCTAAAAAGGCCAATCTCTGTATGTATCCTTTTGATTAATTCGCTCAGAATTTCTTCTGGGTTCCATTAGCTCTGGCTGGTTTACTACTGGATTGTTTGTATCTCAGCCGAGATATGAATGCAGTTCGATCTCCTGGCACTGCCCTCTTATACCCTCAGATCGTTTACACAATTCTGGGTGGCAAGCCCGCTGACGATGTGACCGCGGGAGCATCCCTGCTGCGTGGTATGGGCGTGCTCGTGTCCGCGTTCGGAGCCGGCTACAAGGACTCCAGTGTGCTGTCCAGCATCGCCACCTCCAGCTCACAGGTGTTCACCTGGTCCAGCTTCCAGGACCTGGTCACCAAGAGCAGCTCCCTCACTGGGAACAGCCTCTACCTGCCGAGTACGTTGGGCCAGCCAAAGAGTCACCCTACTGGCCTGGACCTCACAGCTGCACCCTAAAAGCCTTGTTTGAAGGAAGCTTATTAGCTATGCAAACGAATCGAGTTTTGGGGCTCTCCAAATGAGATGAAGGCACTGTCCCTTGTCCTAGAGAGATTATTATCATTGAGAAATCATATTTCTACGTTGTGCGGAAACTGTTCCCTTATTGAAGAACCAAGTTACAGCATAAACTCGTTGTGATCACGCCTTAAGCAAGGACTTCCTGTACAGGCTTTTGAGATGCCATGTGTTCGTTGACTTTAGCGCATACTGTCCACAGCACACTGCACAAGCGAATCCAGTCGCTTTATAAATCACAGGGAAAATGGGTGAGCATGAGCCCTCACGTACAATATTAACAATAACAGCATAACAAAATATGGACTGGCAAACACAAATGCTGAATTGGCAGAGGGTATGAACGGACGGTCAGAGGACAAGCTGGGCGACTTATCGTAAAGAGCTGGGCTGGGCTCAAGGAGGTGGAAGCTTTTCGGGCTGCAAAAGTTAAAAAGGGTTTGAGAGGGATACATAGTGGTGTATCTCTTGCACAAACATGGCTGAGATGTGTAGGCGGTCCGCCCTGTCCCTCTCCTCCTGTTACAAATCCTAACGATGGGGACAGGTCAGGTAAAGAGATAACAATAACAGCAACATGAAAAATAATAAAGTTCGGATACGATGAGTAGATACTCTGCATTGTGTTCAGTCCTCCGGAGATGTGGGCGACTCCACAACAGCTGAGCGCCAGGGGTTTGGGGAATAGCTGAACTTAATTTCAAAGTATTTGTCTGCAGGGAAATTGGATATCTGCAATAATGATCAGAAATTCCCTCCACGTCACAACACCGCAGCTGAATTCCTCAGCATGGAGTCCACCCAATTCTCAATTGGGGGTGTGCGCCGTACTCTACTGTGCACGTGGGGCTCGGGATCCAATCCCTGATCGCCGTTGGCATTCACTTAATATAATAAAACGCACCGAGCTACCCGTAGCTATTAGCAGAGTGTACAATTATAGGTGTGATTAATCACAGGTGAGCTACGGAATTGCATGTTGCGGGATTGCTAAAGACAAATCCTTTAATCTGTATGTTTGTCTGCAGAGAGTAAAGCAAGTGTGACGTTTGTGGTGGACACATCGAGCACCATCACGGCAGATGAGCTCAAGGTGGTGAAGAAATTCATCGTGGGCATGGCCAATCGCCTGAACCTGGCACCCGACAGCGTGCGTCTGTCCGTCGTGAGCTACGGAGCCGACTACCAGAAGCTGGTGGGTCCAGCAGAGATCAACTCGCCCAAGGACCTGGAGACCAAGCTGGGCAGTGTCCTCGTGCCCACGGGTGGCGCCACAAACACTGGCAAGGCCCTCACCTACGCCATCACCGACCTGCTGGCCAAGGAGCCTGAAGATGCCACCAAGGTGAGTGGTGCTCATGCACTGTGATGCAGTTGCTTGTGGTGACTCAACATTGTAGACTTCTCATGATTTACCACTTCGTCACGATTCAGGATAACGCTTCTGGTTCTTACCCTCGGTTTGCATTCTGTTTCGTTTGTACATTTTCTTCACTCCTCGAGCTGGAATTTAACGTCGTAATTGACAACAGCGGTAATGTACCAAATTTGTAAACGATCAATTCCTAGACATGTAATTCAATACTTGCGTTGTTAATGTGAGAATCTGTTATTGTATTGCTGCTTTAAGAGGGATTCTCGTCATTTTCATGAAGCCGCTCTACCCTGACTGTCACCCCCCACCAAATCCCCCACTGACTCCCCACCACCACTACCCCCACTGATCCCAGGTGCCCTAACTCCTACTCACTCCACCTACCGCTGCCCTACTATCCCCACCCACCACTCCCTGTTACTGCACCCCCCCCCCCCTTCCACAATCCCCACCACTACCCAAACCACTCCAGCCTCGTATCAGGGAGGGGGGACACAACTTTTCTCCCCTAGCCCATCCTACTACTACTCGCTGCCTCCACCCCCCCTCCCCCCCAGCTATCACCAGGCCTACCCCAACCCCTATCAGTACCCTTACCCCAACCCCTCCTTAACCACTCCTGCCTGTTCTCCTGTCACCATAACTGCACGGCCCGTTTTAATGACAACCCCAATCACTATCATCTTACGTACATGTTGTAAAGCTCCTCTGAATAAGGTGCTATGTAATTATATATACAGGATAAGAAGGGGCAGGGCGAGGGGAGGGTAGAGAATGGGCATTGAGGGAAGAGGTGAGGCTTTAAGAGAGTGAGGTTGTGACTGCGAAGTCTGGGAACCTGACAGACTCAGCCTTGAATGTTTATTTTCCACTGTACAACCAACCCCTAGTGGAGCCATGCCAAGTCAACCAGCTGTGGCTCAGGAGGCCCCAGGTCGTTTTTTGGTGCAGCAGTCGAACCTTGCTACTGACGTCGCAAGCAATGAACGCGTCATTAGCGCCACACCTGACCCGTCTTAGCCCTGAGCCAGATTCACATATCTCGTTTGGCCATCGTATCAGGGCTCGGTTCTGGCTCGGCATGACAGATAGGCTGTCGAAAACAACCGCTCAGCTCACATGTGCTGGCGGTAAAAGGCGGCCATGATATTTTTCTACCATTAGCACACACGGCAAGACGCATTCATCGTCCCCAGGAATAACTTTGGAACCCCGGGTGCTCGTTTATTCCATCAGAGCGTGGTGTTGATAACGAGCGGGCCTTCCAGCGACTCCGTTGCCCCCATCGCGGAGCTGCTGCAGAAGCACGTGGTGAGCCTGTTTGCGGTGGGCGTGAAGTCCAGCGACGTCCAGCAGCTCCAGACGCTCGTGTCCCGTGGAGGATACTACTACCAGCTCTCAGACTACTCGCTGCTCTTCCGCCTGCAAGGCCAGATGGTCAACAAGGCCCTCTACCTGCCTGCAAGTGAGTAATCTCTTTTCACGTAAACCTAGTATTTTTGCAGGAGGGCAGCCCGGGGGAGTTTTGACTGGTGGGCCTTTGATAATTGTCACCTCCAGGTTAGGTCAGTGACTTGGCTTGAGCAGCGGACTATAGCCATGTTATTAAGGAAAAGATTAGGTGACCGGCTTATAGAAATACACAGTTACATTTGTCGCCCTCGACCTTGCTACCATCAGAGTAGTGTGGTGAGAATGGCGGTGATGTTTAGTGACATTTACCGGGGAGTGTGCACACAATAATCATTGGACTGGTCGCATAGAACATATCAATGTTAAGGTTTTCAGCCAGTACCCTTTATACCGAAGTTTCACTCGGGACGTTGGGCAATATCTGGTCACGAATTAGGCACGAGGCATAATGTGTGTCGATGGCACGCTGGCGTGATTGGTTAGCACGCTGGACTTACAATCCACAAGTCACCAATTCAGTCCCCGGTGTGGCAATGGAACAAACCCAAGCTAATTTTTCAGCACAAGTCGTGCGCGTTTGGGCAAAGTTTGGGGACTTCCTTCTACCTATTCCACGATATCTGGCCAGCATGGAAGAGTAGGCCAAAATGCCCTCTAAAGGGGTGGGGGGGGTCTCGAGAGCTCCCTCTACTTAAGGCCTTTCCGCCAACAGTAGCATCAGCGAGACATTGCAGGGACGCACCTTTGTTATTACAGCGAGTGCATCGGGACACCAGATGCATTATTCGTTGTAAAGGAAACAAAAAATCACGTTGCACACTTGGCTCGCAGATCAAAAGATAGACCTCCTGACGTTCCTCCGACACCGTCAGGATGACAGGAGCACAATTTGGAAGAATACGACAGAGAGAAAACAAAAGCTCCCCCCCCCTCCGACAAATAATGTGAAAACACAAATCACGCCTATTGGAGCAAACGACGCCCGGCGGGCCGGAGCAATAGTAACTAATTGGCACCACGTTATGTTTACACGTGACAAAACTTGCTAATTGGCTGCGCCTGGGTGGTGGTGGTGGGTGAACGACAACACATCTAGACGCGATACTCTCCGGTTTAGTTTGAAGGCGTCGGCGGAGGTGGGGGTGGGACCCACATGGTGAGATTTGCCCGGGGCCCCCCTATGGAGGGCAAGGCAGTCAGTCAGTCAATGGCTTTCTAATGAACGTTTTTTTTTGTGCTCTCTTTCTTCCCGCAGTCGTCAAGGCTGGTAAGCGGCACTTCCCGTCTCCCATCCCGTGTGATGTATATGCACAAATTGTGGAGCCAGTCACGCGCACGCCCCACGACCCCTCCATACCATATTCGTCAGCCCTACTGTGGGCTTTAAGTGGCACATTGCTGATTTGTGGGAAAAACATAGCCCACTTTTCACCCAGTCTCTATGCGTCTCTATGTATCCCTATGAGTTTATATGTATCTCTATGAGTCTCTATGCATCTCGATGAGTCTCTATGTATCTCTATGAGTCTCTATGCATATGTATGCGTCTCTACGTATCCTTATGAGTTTATATGTATCTCTATGAGTCTATGCATCTCTATGAGTCTCTATGTATCTCTATGGGTCTCTATGCATCTCTATGAGTCTGTAGTATCTCTATGAGTCTCTATGTATCTCTATGAGTATCTATGCATCTCTATGAGTCTCTAGTATCTCTATGAGTCTCTATGTTAGTTTAGTTTATTCAGTTGTTGAGCCAACTCACTAGGATTGTGCAAAACCTCGCCCACTTTTAACCCAGGCAACTGGAGAACAGCACAGACTAAGTGTTACTAACATTAAACACTAACAATAACACTTAAGAATCGCAGTTTAAGAGACAAAAAACATTGTATATACTATGAAAAGTAGTTAAAATAACTTTTTTTACAGACCTAACTGTGCACGTGGTGGCTCCTTCTTTCGCAGAGAATATGCAGGTGGTCATAGACACGACCAAGCTGATGGCGGACAAAACACGGATCATCGGAGGTAAATGCAGCATCAGTCAGGCTCCTGTTTATCGTTTTTTTTATTTTAACAGAGACTCAAATTTCACCATCATCTGCGGTGGTGGTGAGATGTTAACTCCCTCACCTGGTATGCAGGAGGTCGAGGGTTCGATCCTGGCCCTGATGGTGTGTCTCTCACCGTGGTCGTGTGGATTTTTGTCCTGGTCCTCCGATTTTCCCCTCCACATTTAGAATCAACGTCGCACGTTTAGAGTATTTTGCTGCAATAAATGTCAACCTGATGATAAGCCACTTCGTTGAGCTATCATTTGTGACCAGGTCGTTTCTGAAAAAATAACTACATAGCTCAGTGGGGCCTTACTTGGTACAACAAAGTTAACAGTTAATGGTTTAAATCATTTTATCTGATGTGGCACACTTAATGTTTAAATTCCCACAGCCTGGTTCGCTCTTTCCGCTTCAAAGGTGGAATTTGCAGATTCATCCCATATAGAATGTCAGTCTCACCCCAGTCCTGAGCTTCAGATTCTGCTGCTGGTTTTGATCTTCTGTGAATGTATGTATGTTGAACTTTTTCACACCGTACATAGCCAACCGTGCTAATCGGAGGTGTGTGGTAAGGACAACGAACTAAACACAAAAGCAGTACTAAAGAAATTAGTTTGTCAATCTATATGATTTAAAAGCGCATAGCTCCTAAGTGGCTTCCTAATATCGGAAGGGAAGTGCATTCCAGACGGCCACAGAAGCTCATTTGAAAGCGCCGCACGATGCAGCTGTGACCGTCTTTGATCGACTGCCAGCGTCGTTATTTGTAAGTCTAAAGCGTACTTTAAATAATGCGATGATAATTGCCATTGTTTCTTCGGGAATAATAGCATCGCCAATGCAGCTGGGCACCAATTGGAGAAATAATGTACACCAGTAACCTTGGCCGATGCTTGTTGTGTCGTCACGTGTTTTACTAACCCCCCACCACCTATGTATTCTTGGTTCTTTAAAGGTTAAGGTAAAGTCACGTAGAAGGGAAACAATAAAATAATAAATATATATACAAATATAAAACAATACAATTATCACGACGTTTCGACTGCAACACAAGCGATCATCATCAGGTGTGAAAACCACAGCAAGAAAATTTGAAAAAAGTGGCGATTATTTTTAACGTTAGCACCACGGAGAGCGATTTGACAGTTTGTTCAGATAGACGAGTCTATCTATGTTCGGAAAAGAGGAGGGGGGAGAGGAAAACAGTGGATGCGGTTCTGAAAGTCACCGTAAGCTTGAACAATCAATTAAGACCCAAAATGGTTTATCAAATCCTTCCAATGATTGCTAAGCCAGAATCCATCTTCTCGGTTGAAATTGTCTCTGTGTTTGTCTATGTGGATAGCCTCATGAACGAATCTCTCTTTCCCTCCCACAGGTGGATCCAAGGGACTTAAAGGTCAGTTCGTGCCTCCCATCTCCAATTTGCCACCTACGACATCCTCGCCAAAAAGATTGCAAATTGACCCAGGGGATTATAGCCACCCTGCACGATTGTCTGAACACATGGCCATAGCTTGGTGGAGTGCCTAGGCGGCGTGGTGGCAAGATGTTAATACTCTCGCTCGGTATGCAGCAGGTCGTGGGTTCAATTTCGACTCTGTCGCCTGCAAATTTGCAGTTTTCATGTTTCTCTCACCATGGTCGCATGGATTTTTGTCCAGGGCCTCAGGCTTTTCACGTCATATTTAGAATCAACATTACACGTTTAGCGTATTTGGGTGCTATAAATTTGGGTGCTATCAATTTCTACACGATACGCCACTTCATCGCGCTATCATTTGTGGCTAGGTTGGTTCTGAAAAAGACCTATATAGCTCAGTGGGCCTTACCTGGTCAAATAAAAAGTAATAAGTCAGTAGTAAGTGCACCTGAAGCCCATGGACCAGAGGAACGCAGGTGCCAGGTTTCTAAAAAGTGAGAAATTAAGGCAGGATGGACACATTTCATTATTGAATTTGTTAAGTCTTTGAGTCAGCTGGCCAGGATTGGTAAAAACCTGTCCCGTGTGTGATATGATAGTGTCATTGGGGTAGTGTAGCGGGTAGCGCTAGGCCACGCTACGAACCCGACGACCCGAGTTCGATTCCTGCTCACGGCGGCCACCACCGCCGGTGACGATTATCTGAAGTCGGCCCGAGCCCTCCCTAAGTCGACCGAGCCTCCAATGAATTGTGTAAAGATCTCCACTGTGGGAGACAAAGGCGGCCGGGCATGGTGCTGGCCACCCAACCCCCTCGTGCGCCGTGCCGGCCTTCATAGGCGCCCGCTACTCTCTAAAAGCACTTGCCCCCAATAGTCTGGCTAGTGGCATAATTAAACCCGAGCGTGTGTGTGCGCGTTTGTATTGCAGCCATCACCTGCACCACCACGGCCAAGGAATTCCTGACGGACAGCGCCGCAGTGTAAGAGAGCGCCGGAATTACAAGACGCGGGTGGGGGAGGGGGGGGGGTGGAGGACGTACGCACCGATGCACCGACGAAGCCGTCACTTCGCGTGCAGGCAAAACAGACGTCGTTTAATTCGAACGTCTGCTCAGGGCCCCCAGTGGGACGGCTCCGTGACGTTGCTAATTCCCGCGCTCGCTGTGTCATTGTGGTTTGTAGGGTTTTCTGTCCTCCGGGATGCCAAGCTGTCAAGGGCTACAAGGTCAAGGGCAGCTACATCTACTCATTGGTAAGGGTGGAGAGTGGCGCCTGCGTGACTCAGGGGTCGGAACACCAAGCCGGCACCGTTGAGATTCCGGGATGGAAAATGGGAATGAGTCGCACGCGATTGAAGCGGGTTCTCAAGCATGGCGGGTTGTTTGAACTAAAACTTCACGAATTTTATTTTTTATCAGGTAAGGCCCATTGAGCTTTAATAGCTCTCTATCAGAAGCGACCTGCATATCACGAATTATCGCTCAACGAAGTGGCTTATCATCGTGTGGCCATTTATAGCAGTAGCCAAATACTCTGAGCGCACGTTGATCCTAAATGTGGAGGGAAAAACCCAGAGAACCCGGAGAAAAATCCACGCGAACGCGGGCCATACTGGTTAAAAAATATGTATTATTATCGCTGCCACCGCCGCCCCTGCTGCTGTAATGAACACCGGTGGCCCCTCGGCAGGACTCGATGGTGTGCGTTGCTGCCGCGCACGCCGGCGTGGTCATCCCGGAGGTGGGCGGTGTGGTGAGGGTGGTGAAGAAGCCGGGGGTCCTCTCCTTCGACGGCTCCGTGATCAACAGCATTTCGTCGCATGCCGCACCCGGGGAGCCCCTCTCCTTCGTCTTCAAGGGCTGCCCCTGCGCTTAGACGTTTGGGGTCGGCCGCTCGCCACCCCCCCCCCCCCCGCCCCCTTCTCGCTTGGCCGGACGTCTCAGTCTGCCTTCAAACCGGCTCACGCGCGAGACGACCATTGTCGGCAATGGCAACTGAGCCACGGATTCCCAGATTTCGCGCGAGTCGCTCGGTCATCGCTTAGACGTCGCATCTTAAAGGGGAAAACCTTACGTTTGCGTTAAAGTGTTTTGACGCGTGTACCTGCTGTGCTCGTATGCGACCAGGCCTGGTGATTCAGTGTCACGGATGACGGCCGTCCGCTACGTGTCGTCAGTCGCTCTGCAAGTGAACCCCGTTCTGGCGATGTTCAGAAGCGACCCCGTGGCTCACCGCTCATTGCTCACGCTGATTGTCTATGGGCCAGGCTTTAGGTCCAACCGTCCGGGCCACCTCTAGAGATCTGTACACGTTTGGATTGTAGTGTCAATATTGCTTTGTAACTGATGTGGCCACAGCCAGCACGGTCCAGACATGACCTCTCCCCACTGACCTCTTCTGTTACCACATAACCGAGCCGAGCACGGGGTTAAGCCAAAACGTGATAAACGGAAGGTTCTGTAACAGAGCAATGATGCAATGATGCAATTCCAACCGTTAGTAGAGACCCAGAATTGCCTTGACCAAGACAATCGTGGCACAAGTGGATATTTGACCCCTGCTCGGCATGAGGACTCCACAGTCGCATGCGTGTGAGAGTCACCAGCGTGACCGGGACGTGCGCCGGTGTCGTTTGCTACAGCCTCAAATGTGACTCGCCTTTTAAATAAAAGAATTCAGAAAATACTTGTTCGGTTTTTTTTCTTCACGTGCCGATTTACAGTTTGAATTTTTTTCTTTTTTTTTTACCGGGCGTTGGGGTTGCACTTTCGTGATTTCTGTCTCGGAAAAAGATAGTTTTACCCGCCTGGACGTAAACCCTGCAGCTACGTACGGTGTGGCAGACGTTCAACATATGTACAGAAACAGAATATTGATTTATACTGGAGAAGTCCGATGAGCTATATAAGCTGTTTTTCACACATGTCCAATTGGGGCGGGTAAGAACGTTGCAACAACCAATAAAAAAAACACGATATGGGTGCAAAGTACAAGAAATGCAACACAAACGAAACTATTTTTGTTTATTTTACCAGGTAAGGCCCACTGAGCTATATATAGCTATTTATTTCAGAAGCGACCTGGCCACAGATGATAGCTCAACAAAGTAGCTTATGTGGAAATGTATACCAGCAAAATAATCTAAATGCAGGTTTCTTCGCACATACGTGACTCAACCACAGACTCCCGCACGTTATCATCCTGGCTGCATCGACTTTTTTGCGGTCAAGGGGTTTGGATCCAGGTCCCTTTACAAAGTTTACAGGATGCAACCGCACGATATCCCCATCAAGCGGCCCCATCAGTGGCCAAGAGAGCGGTGTCCAGGGTTCTCACACGTGTCCTCCAACACCGCAGGGACACTGAGGCTGCATCCGTTCCTCCCTTAAAACAACCGCCATCTTTCCACCCCTAGCCAATCGTTCTTCCTGCTACTGCTCCTACTCCCTGCCCCTACCCCCCCGCTACGGACCAGGCCAACCCCAAACCCCTATCACTACACCAACCCCTATCACCACCCTAACACCCATCACTACCCTATCGCTACCCCTATCGACAGGCCTACCCCAACTCCAAACCCCTATCACTACCCCAACCCCTATCACCACCCTAACCACTATCACTACCCTATTGCTACCCCTATCACCAGGCCTACCCCAACCCCAAACCCCTATCACTACCCCAACCCCTATCACTACCCCAACCCCTATCACTACCCCAACACCTATCACTACCCCAACCCCTATCACTACCCCAACCCCTATCACTACCCCAACCCCTATCACTACTCCAACCCCTATCACTACCCCAACCCCTATCACTACCCCAACTCCTATCACCACCCTAACCCCTATCACTACCCCAACACCTATCACTACCTCAACCCCTATCACTACCCCAACCCCTATCACCACCGCAACCCCTATCACTACCCCAACCCCTATCACGACCCCAACACCTATCACTACCCCAACCCCTATCACTACCCCTATCACGACCCAACCCCTATCACTACCCCTATCACTACCCCTACCTCTATCACCACCCCAACCCCTATCACTACCCCAACCCCTATCACTACCCCAACCCCTATCACAAACCAACACCTATCACTACCCCTACCCCTATCACTACCCCAACCCCTATCACTACCCCTACCTCTATCACTACCCCAACCCCTATCACTACCCCAACCCCTATCACTACCTCAACCCAAATCACGACCCCAACCGCTATCACTACCCCAACCCCTATCACTACCCCAACCCCTATCACTACCCCAACCCCTATCACTACCCCAACCCCTATCACTACCCCAACCCCTATCACTACCCCAACCCCTATCACTACCCCACTCCTTTCACTACCCCAACCCCTATCACTACCCCAACCCCTATCACTACCCCAACCCCTATCACTACACCAACCCCTATCACTACCCCAACCCCTATCACTACCCCTACCTCTATCACTACCCCACCCCTTTCACTACCCCAACCCCTATCACTACCCCAACCCCTATCACTACCCCAACCCCTATCACTACCCCAACCCCTATCACGACCCAACCCCTACCCATATCACCACCCCAACCCCTATCACCACCCCAACCCCTATCACTACCCCAACCCCTATCACTACCCCAACCCCTATCACGACCCAACCCATACCCCTATCACAACCCCAACCCCTACCCCTATCACCACCCCAACCCCTATCACTACCCCAACCCCTATCACAACCCCAACCTCTACCCCTATCACCACCCCAACCCCTATCACTGCCCCAACCCCTATCACTACCCCAACCCCTATCACTACCCCAACCCCCATCACTACCCCAACCCCTACCACTACCGCAACCCCTATCACTACCCCAACCCCTATCACCACCCCAACCCCTATCACTACCCCAACCCCTATCACTACCCCAACCCCTCTTTAACCACTCCTGCCTGTTCTCCTGTCACCATAACTACACCACCACTTTTAATAACCCCACTCTTTATCGCGTCCACAAGCATGTTATGTTCAATTTCATAAATGCTGTCAAGCCTGTTGAAATAAGCTGCTGCTCTCTATATATCTGTGTCGGTGATTGCAGTGAAAGACTCGGTCGTGCTTCGTTGTCTGATGTGTAGAGTCAGAGTGAAGGAGCTTTTCTAATACACGTGTAGTAAGCGACTTCCGACCCACGTCTAGTAGAAGGCTTCTTATTTATTAAGAGCACGCAGGGCGATACATTTCGTAACGCGGCTACACCTAGGCGGAGCTGGTCTTGCAGAAGAACAGCCACGTGGTCGAAGACGAAGAGATGATGACAGCAGAGACGCAACCAGGACCCAGACCCCACACTAACAGCCTGAAGCTCTGGTTTGGCGCTCCTTATATCTGCCTGGCGTTGCCAAGCTCCACCTCTGGCCACGCCCCCTTTCTAGAACCTTCTAGACCCTTCGGGACGGTTCCCGGAGCTTCTTGACTGACTCTGCCCTTGACCTTTACCCCAGATACGCCCCTTCATAATAAGGCATTATGTAATGCAGCTTTAACCGTAATTACCCTTACAGGCCGGCAGGTGCCACACTGTCATTACACACGTATGTAAAATTGAGAAAATACACGCATGTGTATTAGAAAAACCCCCGTGGTTGGCAAGACTCAAAGGCTCGTGGAAAATATTGGGTTAGGTTCCTGAAAACCCCCGTGGTTAGGAAAACCGTGTTTGGCAAAACTAATAGGCTTATGAAACGTAGAAGTTAGGTTCCTGAAAACCCCCGTGGCTAGGGAAACCGTGTTTGGCAAAACTAAAAGGCTTATGGAAAGTAGGGGTTAGGTTCTGCAGCGGCGGTTAACACTTCCATCGACGCCTAACTACGCACCCTATGCATTCGGTAAACTTGAGAAATACGTCCAGTACCGAAGAACACACGGTAACCCTGTATGAACAAAAAATCGTATTAATTACCTTTAATGTTGATAGTGAAGTCCAGATAACGTTGACAGTGACGATGACGATGATGGTGATGTTAGGGAATGGAGAGGGGGGACTCTGCTCACACAGCCCAGATGCCGTTCTACCGACGCCTCACTCTCTCCGCGAGCGAGACGAACGTGCAACTCAACTTCACTTATGAAAAAATAAGAATAGCTTTTACCCTTTCTGGCAATAAAACAGGTGTCAAGATTTTTATTTAAATTTTGATTTAAAGCTTTCATGACTGCAGTAATTCATATTCTTAGCTCTTCAGGTAAAGTCTTTACCGAAAGAGCTAAGAATATGAATAGGTGTCAAGATGTTCAAACACAAAATAGAAACCTTTTTTGCAAGGAATCAACGTCGTTTCTTCTCTCTAAAGACAACTACAGCCCTCACCGCGCCCTCTTCCTCACGCGCCGCTTCACCTTCACCGCCAGCTCGACGCTTTAGGGGCCTTGATTAAGGGGGACATTGAGTGGTGTTGTAAATACCGCACACTTTCACGAGGTGCAAATGAGAGCACCACCGCGTTTTCACGGCTGATGCACAACTGAACGACGGGGCTAAGTAGAGCGATACTCTTGACTTTCGTCCACTTGACTTTCGTCGCTCCGCCCTTTCGGCCGTTCTCAACTACAACCACGTTTCAAATTTCGTCCACGCGGCTTTCTCTTCCATCCGGTTTCATCCCCAAGCTTCCGCGACGGTCGCGCCACGCGCCGTTTTTCTCGTTCAGTCTTTGAATAGAAGTCGCTCAGTGAGCATCTCCTTTGTTTATTTTTCTGTTATTTCTGTTTATTTAGGTTTCGCACGCACGTGTTATATAGTTACTGTAGTTATTTGCACGCCGTTTTTTCGCCAGCCAAAATACATTTGCAAGCTAAATAAAGGCTCTGCTTTGACATTTGTCCATTTTTGACATTCGTCCATGCTCCGGTCCCTAACCAGATGAAAGTGCAAGGTATTCCTGTACTATTTCTTTGCTTCTTTCGGTAAAGTCACGTAGATAGAAAAAAATAATAATAAAAGTCAATAAAATAAAAACTACGACGTTTCGATCACAACACAAGCGATCGTCTTCAGGAGGAAAAAGAATATGAATTCCTGCAGTCAGTAAAGTTTTAAGTCAAAATGTATTCCTGTAGTTTGTAGTGGTGGGTCCCACGCACTTGATGCGCCCCTGGTGGCGGATTACTTGAACAAGGCGGGAGATTTGAAGTCTCGGGCAGCGGCGGGAAAAACAAAACAGGCAACTGGAGAGCAACACACCTAACATTAACAGGTCCCTGCAGGGTGGGCTGGTACGACAAGTCTCTGCGCTGTCTATTGCTGATTTTACACCCAACAGCACGAGATTTCACTTCGTTAAAGTATTGAAAGGGGACGGACGGACGGACACATTAATCTATTGCAGGCTGGTACACTCAGTTTACAACTTCGTTCCTACCAGTAAAACTAACGATAACATATTCTTGGTTCTTTCGGTAAAGTCACGTAGAAGGGAAACAATAAAATAATAAAAATATAAAACAATAAAATTATCACGACGTTTAGACTGCAACACAAGCAATCATCATCAGGTGTGAAAACCACAGCAATATTTTTTTTTATTTTCTTGCTGTGGTTTTCACACCTGACGATGATTGCTTGTGTTGCAGTCGAAACGTCGTGATAATTTTATTGCTTTATATTTTTACTATTTTATTG